GACATTGTGGAAAACAGCACCTCTATAATATTTTTCCCCACAAAGCAGAAAGGCAAGAAAGAAGATGATATTGTCAAAGACTTTCATGGCTGCAATCTCTGGGTTGTTGTAGGTTTTTCGGGCTATATGGCCATGTCCTAGAAGCATTCTCTCCTGACGTTTCGCCTGCATCTATGGCAAGCATCCTCAGAGCCATCAAATGCTAATCAAGGTGGCCAATTGAAACATTCACACCGAGCTCCGACAGACAAGAGTTCTTTCTCCCACTCTGGACATTATTCCACAGATTTATAAACCCAATTTTCCTAGTTCCAACAGACCTCATAACCTCTGAGGATGCTTGCCACAGATGTAGGCAAAACGTCAGGAGAGAATGCTCCTCGAACATGGCCATATAGCCCAAAAAACCTACAACAACCCAGATAATATTATTATATTATTGTTGTTTTTGTTGTTATGGCCAATATGACATTATTATTATTATTATTATTATTATTATTATTATGGCCAATGTCCCAACATTATATTATTATTATTATTATTATTATTATTATTATCTGACACAAAACCACTGTATGTCACAGGAAACAAGATATATATGCTGGATTTTTTTGTTGTTATGGCCAATATGACATCATCATCATCATCATCATCATCATTATGGCCAATGTCCCAACATTATATTATTATTATTATTATTATTATTATTATTATTATTAGACTCAAAATGACTGTATGCACAGGAAACGAGATATATATGCTGGATTTCGTATCACAAAATCACAAGTCGAACACTTCCTATCATCATCATTATCATTATGGTCAATGTGTCAACATTATATTGTTATTGGGTTGCTGTGAGTTTTCCAGCCCATATGGCCATTTTCCAGAAGCATTCTCTACCAAAATAGGAGAGAATGCTTCTGGAACATGGCCATACAGCCTGGAAAACTCACAGCAACCCAGTGATTCCGGGTATTAAAGCCTTCAACAACACATTATTATTATTATTATTATTATTATTATTATTATTATTATTATTATTATATCTATCATCATTATTATCATCATCATCATGGCCAAAGTGCCAACATTATATTATTATTATGACCAATGTGCCATATATATATAAAGATATGTATCTTTTTTCACACTTATTCTATTTCCAGGTGCTTTTCTCCATTGTTCTTCACCTGGTTCAAATGATACCAATGGTAAGGGGTACGGTGTCATCTGTACGCGGATGATGTCCAACTCTGTCACTCCTTTCCACCTGCTACTAAGGAGGCTGTCGAAGTCCTGAACCGGTGCTTGGCCGCTGTGACGGTCTGGATGGGGGCGAACAAATTGAAATTGAATCCAGACAAGACAGAGGTACTCCTGGTCAGTCGCAGGGCCGAACAGGGTATAGGGCTACAGCCTGTGTTAGATGGGGCCGCACTCCCCCTGAAGACGCAGGTTCGCAGCTTGGGTGTGACCCTGGACTCATCGCTGAGCCTGGAACCCCAGGTTTGGGCGGTGACCAGGGGAGCATTTGCACAGCTAAAGCTTGTGCGCCAGCTGCGCCCGTACCTTGGGAAGTCTGACTTGGCCACGGTAGTCCACGCTCTGGTTACATCCCGTTTAGACTACTGCAACGCTCTCTACGTGGGGTTGCCTTTGAAGACAGCTCGGAAGCTCCAACTAGTCCAACGCTCGGCAGCCATGATTTTAACAGGAGCGAAGCGCAGGGAGCATACAACCCCCCTGTTGCGCCAACTCCACTGGCTACCGATCTGCTACCGGGCTGAATTCAAAGTGCTGGCGTTGGCCTTTAAAGCCCTAAACGGTTCCGGCCCAAGCTACCTATCTGACCGCATCTCTGCCTATGAACCCACCAAGACTTTGAGATCTTCCGGGGAGACCCTGCTCTCGATCCCGCCTGCTTCTCAAGCTCGGCTGGCGGGGACGAGAGATAGGGCCTTCTCGGTGGTGGCTCCTCGGCTGTGGAACGCCCTTCCTACGGACATTAGACTAGCACCATCTCTAATGGTATTCCGCAAAAAGGTGAAGACCTGGATGTTTGTGCAGGCGTTTGAGTAATTTTAGTGCAATCTGGTAATGGAACATAGGAATGGAACAATGGACGACGAACCTGGACTACGCTTGGATGATGAGAAGATTGGGTACGGTTGTTTTTTGTAATAATTGTGCATTGTAATTGCTTATTGGTAATTTATGGATAATGTGTTAAGTCAATTGTTATATGTTGTATGGAAGCACTGCTATTTCTACTGTTTTTACTGTTTGTGAACCGCTGTGAGTCGCCTTCGGGCTTGAGATACAGCGGTATATAAGCAAAGTAAGTAAGTAAATAAATAAATAAGGCAGGTGATATACCCTAATGGCCATTCTCTTTGCCGCCCTCTTGTGGACACAGGAATAGTTGCACTTGCTTTGAGATTCCCATTTGCAATCCTTTGCTGCCATCGAGTGGCCAGAGAGGGAAGTGCAACCTTGAACTGTCGAGTGCTGCCGTCAAGTGGACAGAGTGGAAAACAGCACCTCTCTATTATATTCCCCCCCCCCCCCCCCCCAAAACAGGAAGACATCATAACTCAAAATTCTCTGGAGGAATTGCTGCCAAATTTAGCCACATGACACCAACTAACTCAAGGAGTGACCATCACTAATTTTTTTTGTCATTTGGGAGTTGTAGTTGCTGGGATTTATAGTTCACCTACAGTCAAAGAGCATTCTGAACTCCACCAACGATGGAATTGAACCAAACTTGGCACACACAGCTCCCATGACCAACAGAAAATATTGGAAGGGTTTGGTGAGCATTGGACTTGAGTTTGGGAGTTGTAGTTCACCTACATCCAGAGAGCAATATGGACTCAAACAGTGATGGGTCTGGACCAAACTTGGCACGAATATTCTATATGCCCAGCTAAGCACACAGATGGAGTTTGGGGGAAATGGACCTTGACATTTGAGAGTTGTAGTTACTGGGAGTTATAGTTCACTTTGGTGGTTCAAATGATATAGTTCAAATGATATGGCAAGTTATTTGCTGCCCTCCTGTGGCCACAGAGGAGATTGCACCCTACTTGGTATTTTGCCCCTTCATTAAAGCCAATAGGATTTCATAGCTCCAATGTGCAATCATTTGCTGCCCTCCTGTGGCTACAAAGAAGATTGCACCCTCCTGGATATTTTGCCCCTCCATTAAAGCCAATAGATCTCCATAGCTCCAATGTGCAATCATTTGCTGGCATCATGTGGCCACAGAGGGGATTGCACCCTCCTGGATATTTTGCCCCTTCATCAAAGCCAATAGCACTCCTCAGCTCCAACGTGCAACCATTTGCTGCCATCCTGTGGCTAAAGGGGGAACTGCACCCTCCTTGATATATTTAGTATTTAATATTTTGATATATTTAGATATATTTAAATATATCTAAATATATTTTGATATATTTAGTATTTAAAAACTCTAAAATCAGAATAGTAAATAAAAAGCAACATTTAAAAAAAAAACAGGGGGGAAACAGGGAAAACTAGATAACACCTCCCAACAAAGGATTTCCCCAGGCAGTAAGCAGCCAGGCTTTGATGCTGAAAAAGCTATTCATTGGCCAATGTTTATTCATACCGATCTCCAACAGAGAGGAGTTCTTTCTCCCACCCTGGACATCATTCCACAGATATATCAACCTCAGTTGCCTAGTTTTCAACAGACCTCACAATCTCTGAGGATGGCTGTCATAGCTGTGGGTGAAACGTCAGGTGAGAATGCTGCTGGAGCATGGCCAGACAGTCTGGAAAACTTGCAGCAACCCAACATCTAGGTTGCACAGTGGAATAGATGCATTTTGAAAGGATCTTTGTGATTTTCCTCTGCTGCTTCTTCTGCCGGGTCTTCTCGCTTTAGAAAGTGGCTTTATGATGTCCACTGTCAATCAGACAACAACAACAACAACAAAAAAGCCACACACCTTTTGGGTCTCTCATTCCAACCCCACCTTTAATGTATTTGCTTTATTGAAAAATGAAAAAGGGCAGGTGATTTGGAATATAAATATCATGACGCTGATGAGACATTGACAAGGTGTCCTCCATCACTGGGTATAGATGAATGGAAAGGCAGAACTAGAACCTTCCCAAAGCGTGAAGACGTTGCGAGATGCTTCCCCGTTGATGCAAAGCTACAGAAGAAGGTCAGGTGAGCATTTCAGACAGGAGACAGCCTACGTCTTTGAAACAGAGGGCAAGAGGAAGTTCTAAACCAGTGGAACCCAATCTTTGGACCTCTAGATGTTTGGGACATCAGATCCCAGAATTCCTGAGAATTGGACAAGCTGGGAGTTGGAGTCCCAAACATCTCAAGGACCAAACTTTGGCATCACTGGTCTAAATCATGGTGCGCCAACCAGGTGAAGATGGTCTATAGGAAGAATTCCTCTCAGCAGGTGACCTTCTTGGTCCGGCCTTGGACCTCAAGAGTCTTCTTCTAGCTGTATTTGTCTTGGGATGGTGTCAGAAGTGGAGAATCTGAACTGAGTCTTGGAACACCAACCCAAAGCTTGGTAGGACAATTTGGATTGAGTCTTGGAACACCAACCCAAGGCTTGGTAAGAGAATTAGGACTGAGCATTGGAACACCAACCCAAAGCTTGGTAGGACAATTTGGGTAGAGTCTTGGAACACCAAAGCAAAGCTTGGTAGAAGAATTTGGACTGAGTCTTGTAACACCAAAGATTGGTAAGAGAATCTGGACTGAATCTTGGAAGACCAAAGCTTGGTAGAAGAATCTGGACTGAGTCTTGGAAGACCAACCCAAAGCCAGGTAGGAGAATCTGGATTGATTCTTGGAACACCAAAGCAAAGCTTGGTAGAATAATCTGGACTGAGTCTTGGAACACCAAAACTTGGTAAGAGAATCTGGACTGAGTCTTGGAACACCAACCCAAGTCTTGGATTGAGTCTTGGAACATCAACCCAAGGCTTGGTAAGAGAATTAGGATTGAGCATTGGAACACCAACCCAAAGCTTGGTAGGACAATTTGGATTGAGTCTTGGAATACCAACCCAAAGCTTGGTAGAAGAATCTGGACTGAGTCTTGGAAAACTAACCCAATGATTGGTAGGAGATTCTGGATTGAGTCTTGAAACACCAACCCAAAGCCAGGTAGGAGAATCTGGATTGATTCTTGGAACACCAAAGCAAAGCTTGGTCGAATAATCTGGATTGAGTCTTGGAACACCAAAACTTGGTAAGAGAATCTGGTATGGGTCTTGGAAAACTAACCCAATTTTTTGGTAGGAGAATCTGGACTGACTCTTGGAAACCCAACACAAAACTTGGTAGGAGAATCAGGATTGTCTTGGAATACCAACCCAAAGCCTGGTAGGACAATTTGGATTGAGTTTTGGAACACCAACCCAAATTTTGGTAGAAGAATCTGGACTGAGTCTTGGAAAACTAACCCATTGTTTGGTAGGAGAATCTGGATTGTGTTTTGGAACACCAACCCAAAGTTTGGTAAGAGAATCTGGATTGTGTCTTGGAACACCAACCCAAAGCCAGGTAGGAGAATCTGGATTGATTTTTGGAACAGCAAAGCAAAGCTTGATAGAATAATCTGGACTGAATCTTGGAACACCAAAATTTGGTAAGAGAATCTGGACTGACTCTTGGAAGCCCAACACAAAACTTGGTAGGAGAATCAGGATTGTCTTGGAATACCAGCCCAAAGCCTGGTAGGACAATTTGGATTGAGTTTTGGAACACCAACACAAAACTTGGTAGAAGAATCTGGACTGAGTCTTGGAACACCAAAGCAAAGCTTGGTAGAATAATCTGGACTGAGTCTTGGAACACCAAAACTTGGTAAGAGAATCTGGACTGAGTCTTGGAACACTAACCCAATTTTTGGTAGGAGAATCTGGACTGATTCTTGGAAACTCAACACAAAACTTGGTAGGAGAATCAGGATTGTCTTGGAATGCCAACCCAAAGCCTGGTAGGACAATTTGGATTGAGTTTTGGAACACCAACCCAAAGTTTGGTAGAAGAATCTGGACTGAGTCTTGGAAAACTAACCCATTGTTTGGTAGGGGAATCTGGATTGTATCTTGGAACACCAACCCAAAGTTTGGTAAGAGAATCTGGATTGTGTCTTGGAACACCAACCCAAAGCCAGGTAGGAGAATCTGGATTGATTTTTGGAACAGCAAAGCAAAGCTTGGTAGAATAATCTGGACTGAATCTTGGAACACCAAAACTTGGTAAGAGAATCTGGACTGAGTCTTGGAAACCCAACACAAAACTTGGTAGGAGAATCAGGATTGTCTTGGAATACCAACCCAAAGCCTGGTAGGAGATTTTGGATAGAGTCTTGGAACACCAACCCAATGCTTGATAAGAGAATCTGGATTGAATCTTGGAAAACTAACCCATAGTTTGTTAGGAGAATCTGGACTGAGTCTTGGAACACCAATTGAAAGTTGGGGAAGGGAATCTGGATTGAGTCTTTGAACACCAGCCCAAGGCTTAGTAGGAGAATCTGGACTGAGTTTTGGAACATCAACCCAAATCCTGGTAGAACAATCCAGATGGAGTCTTGGAACACCAACCCATAGCTTGGTAGGAGAATCTGGACTGAGTCTTGGAACACCAACTGAAAGTTGGGGAAGGGAATCTGGATTGAGTCTTGGAAGACCAACCCAAGGCTTGGTAGGAGAATCTGGATTGAGTTTTGGAACACCAACTCAAAGCCTGGTAGAACAATCCAGATGGAGTCTTGGAACACCAACCCAAAGCTTGGTAGGATGTCCTGTATATGTCCGATGCCATTGATGTTCATATATGGAGTTACCCAGATGTCGTGACAGCACACATATGTTAACACATGTGTGGCAGCCCACTTGGAACCCTGTTCATTCCTTATCTTGCACTTTCTCTTCTGTCCTTCACCCCCCATTGTCTCTTATTTGGCTTTGGGGCTCTAGCCGCCCCACTCCTAAAGTGCAACATTGAACTCTGTGACTAGAAAATCCACATAGTCCTTGTCCTTGGTTTTGAAGGCCTCGGCGATGATCCGAGCCGCTTCACGGTGCTCCTTCCCTCGAAGGGTGACTCCATTCACCTCCAAGATGACGTGGCCCACCTTCAGCTTTCCACAGTTGTGGGCAGAACCTCCTCTCTGCAAAACATAAGGAAAAGGAACAGGAGATACGATAAAGGAAGAGCAAATCATTATAAGGTTCACTGCTGGACTGACCTTCAGTTCTGGAAGTTGTAGTTCACTTACATCCAGAGACACTGTGACCACTACTGATGATGAGTCTGGACCAAACTTGGCACACAGAACCCCTATGAGCAACTGAACCTACTGGAGGGATTTGAGGGGACTGACCCACCATGGTGGGAGCTGTAGTTTCAAAATGCTGCTTGTAAAAAACACATATGACGATGGGTTGCCTGAGACCCTTCATACTTTACCTGGATGGTCACAATCCGGGGCAAAGGCTGCCGAGTGTTGGCTCCTCCCTCAATGGCAATGCCCAGGGTCGGGGCACTCTTTGTCACCCGGATCAGATGGGATGTTGGTTCTAGAAGGCCTGGCTGTGGGGTTGGGGGGCAGAAGAGAAAAAGGACATGATTCCAGTGGCTGCTCAGAAGTCACAAACTACCTAGGCAAGTTTTTTTGGTCTGTATGGCCATGTTCCAGAAGCATTCCCTCCTGATGTTTCACCTACATCTATGGCAGGCATCCTCAGAGATTGTGAGGTCTGTTGGAAACTAGGAAAATGGGGTTTATATATCTGTGGAATGTCCAGGGTGGGAGAAAGGACCTCCCACCCTGGATATTCCACAGATATATAAGCCCCATTATAGGCATCTATCTGCCCAGGATTCCTTTGTGTGGTCCTTTGTTGCCCTCCACTGGACGCATCGAGAATTGCGCCCTCTTGGTATTCTGACCCTCCATTGAAGCCTTAGGGGCAACTATCTGCCCAGGAGTCCTATGTGTAATCCTTTGTCGCCCTCCAGTGGAGATATTGCACATTGCACCCTCTTGTATTCTGCCCCTCCATTGAAGCCTATGGGGCATCCATCTGCCCAGGAGTCCTATGTGTAGTCCTTTGTTGCCCTCCAGTGGACACATTGAGCATTACGCCCTCTTGGTATTCTGCCCCTCCATTGAAGCCTATGGGGCACATATCTGCCCAGGACTCCTATGTGTAATCCTTTGGACGTTGGACTTGTCAACAACACAACTATTATTTGGTATTTGCATACTGGTTTGGGTGTTGGCTCCAGCATCCCGTCCGCTTTGAGGGGCTCCTGGGGGCTCCGGTTTTTGTTGGGACCCTGCATCCGGCTCCTCTCCCTGGCGCTGACCTCGGCCTCTCCGATGTCCACGCCGCTGTCCTCGCTGAGGGTCTGTCCGCTGTCCGAAAGCTGGGAAAGCGTGGACGCTGAGGTGGGCGAGAGCAGGAGAAAGGCTGTCAGGAGAGCAGCACAGGCAAGACATAAGCTTTCATGACTTGTTATGATTTTTTCTGGCCATGTTCTAGAAGCATTCTCTCCTGATGTTTTGCCCACATCTGTGGCAGACATCCTCAGAAGTTGTGAGGTCTGTTGGAAACTAGGCAAGTGGGGTTCATATATCTATAATGTCCAGAAATAACTTTTGTCTGTTGGAAGAAGGTGTGAAAGTTGCAATTGGCCACCTTGATTAGCATTGAATGGCCTTGCAGCTTCAAAGCCTGGCTGCTTTCTGCCATGAAAATGAACAAAATCTGGCTACCCAAATCATGATGAGCAACACTCAGAAAACAGGGGAATTCCACACAGGAAACCACCAGGGTCAGTTAACACCTCCCAACAAAGCATTCCCCCCAAGGAAGGAAGGAAGGAAGTATATAAATACTGTAAATAATAATAATAATAATAATAATAATAATAATAATAATATTTCAGTGTTGCAAGTCTTTGGAGTCATAGTTTGCTGAGGAACCAGTTGTTGTAGTCAGGCAAGGATCAGAAGTTTTCGCTGAATGTTCAGAGGATGAGCGGGTTTCAAAGTGAGGAAGCAACCAGGCTTTGAATTGCAAGGCCATCAAATGCTAATTGAAGTGGCCAATGATTGCAATGTTCACACTCGCCTCCAGCAGACAAGAGTTCTTTCTCCCCCTCAATTTCGGTTCAGCCTTGCACAAAGATCCTAAATTGTTTTTGAACTGCTAGGTTGGCAGGAGCTAGGGCTAACAGTGGGAGCTCACCATGTCCTGCGGATTTGAACTGCCAACCCAAGAAATAACGATGCAGACCATCAAAATACTGCATTTTGGAAGAAGAGCCCAAACCCCCTCAATTTCGGTTCAGCCTTGCACAAAGATCCTAAACTGTTTTTGAACTGCTAGGTTGGCAGGAGCTGGGGCTAACAGTGGGAGCTCACCATGTCTTTTGGATTTGAACTGCCAACCCAAGAAATAACGATGCAGACCATCGAAATACTGCATTTTGGAAGAAGAGCCCAAACCCCCTTAATTTCGGTTCAGCCTTGCACAAAGATCCTAAACTGTTTTTGAACTGCTAGGTTGGCAGGAGCTGGGGCTAACAGCAGGAGCTCACAATGTCTTGTGGATTTGAACTGCCAACCCAAGAAATAACGATACAGACCATCAAAATACTGCTTTTTGGAAGAAGAGCCCAAACTCCCTCAATTTCGGTTCAGCCTTGCACAAAGATCCTAAACTGTTTTTGAACTGCTAGGTTGGCAGGAGCTGGGGCTAACAGCGGGAGCTCACCATGTCTCGCTGATTCGAACTGCCAACCTTCAGGTCAGGTAAACATTCAATGCTTTGAAACAATAAAACACAAATACACAGACAAAGGCAAAGGCTTCCCCTTTCATCTCCGGCTCTGGAGGTGGTGCTCATCTCCATTTCCAAGCCGAAGAGCCTGCGTTGTCCATAGTTACCTCCAAGGTTATGTGGCCGTACCTATTGATCTACATCTTTTTGAACTGCTAGGTTGGCAGGAGCTGGGGCTAACAGTGGGAGCTCACCATGTCTCACTGATTCAAACTGCCAACTTTCAGGTCAGGCAAACATTCAATGATTTGAAACAATGAAACACAAATACACAAACAAAGGCTTCCCCTTTCATCTCCAGCTCTGAGGGTAGTGCTCATCTCCATTTCCAAGCCGAAGAGCCTGCGTTGTCCACAGACACCTCCTAGGTCATGTGGCCGGCATGACTGCATAGAGCGCCGTTTACCTTCCCATCGAGGCTTGTACTCACACTTGTATATTTTTGAACTGCTAAGTTGGCAGGAGCTGGGGCTAACAGTGGAAGCTCACTATGTCCGATGGAGTCGAACTGCCAGCTTTTAGGTCAGGCAAACATTCAATGTTTTGAAACAATGTAAAAGAAATACACAGACAAAGGCAAAGGCTTCCCGTTTCATCTCCAGTTCTGAGGGTAGTGCTGCTAGGTTGGCAGAAGCTGGGGCTAACAGTAGGAGCTCACCCCACCCCACGGATTCGAACTGCCAAACTTAAGGCCAGCAAGTTCAGCAGCTCAATGGTTTAACCCATTGTGCCACTGTGGCCCTTATACTACTATGCTGGCCAATAATAATAATAATAATAATAATAATAATAATAATAATAATAATGTTTAAATATTGGAAAGGATGTCACATTACGGAAGGAGCAAGCTTGTTGCATCAAGTCTTCCTGATGGTAAGAGCTGTTTGGCAGCGAAATACGCTGCCTCAGAGTCCAACGGAGTCTCCTTCTCTGTATGTTTTTACAAAGAGTCTGAGTGGCCATCTGTTAGGAGGGCTTGGATTGTGTCTTCCTGCCGGGACTGATATTAGTCGCTTCTTGCAGTGAGCAAATACAATCGCAAGGGGGAAGCAAAGTCACAATTATTAACCATGTGTTGTTGAAAGCTTTCATGACTTGTTATGATTTTTTCTGGCCATGTTCTAGAAGCATTCTCTCCTGACATTTTGCCCACATCTGTGGCAGACATCCTCAGAAGTTGTGAGGTCTGTTGGAAACTAGGCAAGTGGGGTTCATATATCTATAATGTCCAGAAATAACTTTTGTCTGTTGGAAGAAGGTGTGAAAGTTGCAATTGGCCACCTTGATTAGCATTGAATGGCCTTGCAGCTTCAAAGCCTGGCTGCTTTCTGCCATGAAAATGAACAAAATCTGGCTACCCAAATCATGATGAGCAACACTCAGAAAACAGGGGAATTCCACACAGGAAACCACCAGGGTCAGTTAACACCTCCCAACAAAGCATTCCCCCCAAGGAAGGAAGGAAGGAAGTATATAAATACTGTAAATAATAATAATAATAATAATAATAATAATAATAATAATAATTTCAGTGTTGCAAGTCTTTGGAGTCATAGTTTGCTGAGGAACCAGTTGTTGTAGTCAGGCAAGGATCAGAAGTTTTCGCTGAATGTTCAGAGGATGAGCGGGTTTCAAAGTGAGGAAGCAACCAGGCTTTGAATTGCAAGGCCATCAAATGCTAATTGAAGTGGCCAATGATTGCAACGTTCACACTCGCCTCCAGCAGACAAGAGTTCTTTCTCCCCCTCAATTTCGGTTCAGCCTTGCACAAAGATCCTAAATTGTTTTTGAACTGCTAGGTTGGCAGGAGCTAGGGCTAACAGTGGGAGCTCACCATGTCCTGCGGATTTGAACTGCCAACCCAAGAAATAACGATGCAGACCATCAAAATACTGCATTTTGGAAGAAGAGCCCAAACCCGCTCAATTTCGGTTCAGCCTTGCACAAAGATCCTAAACTGTTTTTGAACTGCTAGGTTGGCAGGAGCTGGGGCTAACAGCAGGAGTTCACAATGTCTTGTGGATTTGAACTGCCAACCCAAGAAATAACGATGCAGACCATCAAAATACTGCATTTTGGAAGAAGAGCCCAAACCCCCTCAATTTCGGTTCAGCATTGCACAAAGATCCTAAACTGTTTTTGAACTGCTAGGTTGGCAGGAGCTGGGGCTAACAGTGGGAGCTCACCATGTCTTGCGGATTTGAACTGCCAACCCAAGAAATAACGATGCAGACCATCAAAATACTGCATTTTGGAAGAAGAGCCCAAACCCCCTCAATTTCGGTTCAGCCTTGCACAAAGATCCTAAACTGTTTTTGAACTGCTAGGTTGGCAGGAGCTGGGGCTAACAGTGGGAGCTCACCATGTCTTGCGGATTTGAACTGCCAACCCAAGAAATAACGATGCAGACCATCAAAATACTGCATTTTGGAAGAAGAGCCCAAACCCCCTCAATTTCGGTTCAGCCTTGCACAAAGATCCTAAACTGTTTTTGAATTGCTAGGTTGGCAGGAGCTGGGGCTAACAGTGGGAGCTCACCATGTCTCGCTGATTTGAACTGCCAACCTTCAGGTCAGGGAAAAATTCAATGCTTTGAAACAATGAAAATCAAATACACAGACAAAGGCAAAGGCTTTCCCTTTCATCTCCGACTCTGGAGGTGGTGCTCATCTCCATTTCCAAGCTGAAGAGCCTGAGTTGTCTATAGACACCTCCAAGGTTATGTGGCTATTATTCCGCAGGGATACAAACCCCACTTGACTAGTTTCCAACAGACTTCACAACCTCTGAGGATGCCTGCCTTAGATGTGGGGGAAACGTCAGGAGAGAATGCTTCCGGAACGAAAAATCACAACAACCCAATTTTTAACCATAAGACTACAAAACCAGGAGATGGGTTGTCACCTCTGGCTTGGGGCAGAGACCGCACTTCATTCACATCTGGCTCGCTGTTGGGTTGGTGTACCTCCACCATGATGAAGTGTTGAGCAGCCCCAGCTTCGGGGGACCCCTTTTCAGCCGGAGGAGGAGGAGGAGCAGGATGGGAAGGGTGAGGCGGCGGCGAAGGAGAATTGGTGGGATCTGTAGTTTCCGGAGAGGGTGTCTTGAGCCGCGTCGGCGACCGTACCCGAGGGAAAGGCCCAATGGGGTGTTGGTTGACCAACAACAAGCGGGCTTCGGTAGGTCTTCGGGAACCACGGTGAGTGGCCGGACTAATGGAGGCGTAGATGGCGCTGGAGGTGGAACCGTCGGTGGAGGAAGCTGTGGTGGAGGACGAGGAGGCCAGGCTGATGGTGTCCTTCTCGGAGAGGCCGGGGGGCGGTGTGGAGTTGTGGGGTGCCGTGAAGAAGAGCCCCGACTGGGAGGATTCGGAGGACGGCCGTTGGAGTCTTCCTTTCGAGACGGGTTTGTTTTGGGAAAGAGTGCCCTCCGCGGCGGTTTGAGGTGAAGGTGGAGGCGGTGGAGGTTTGAAAGCTGGGGGCTCATCCGGGATAGAGGAAACATCATCCTAGGAAAAACAACATTGGAGAAACAGTGTCATGTTTTGAGTATTTTGAGTGCTTGCACCATCAATGTTTAACATTTAAACAAATGGCCAGCTACTGCCTGAAGGGACAGAGAGCTTCATCTATGCTGACGATCGTGCCATCACCACCCAAGCAGGAAGCTTTGAAATGGGAGTGTGCTTGCTCCATCAATGTTTACAATTTACACAAATGATCAGAAGGGACAGAGTTTAATCTATACTGATGATCGTGCCATCACTGCCCAAGCAGGGAGCTTTGAAATGGGAGTGTGCTTGCTCCATCAATGTTTACAATTTACACAAATGATCAGAAGGGACAGAGTTTAATCTATACTGATGATCGTGCCATCACTACCCAAGCAGGGAGCTTTGAAATGGGAGTGTGCTTGTTCCATCAATGTTTACAATTTACACAAATGATCAGAAGGGACAGAGTTTAATCTATACTGATGATCGTGCCATCACTGCCCAAGCAGGGAGCTTTGAAATGGGAGTGTGCTTGCTCCATCAATGTTTACAATTTACACAAATGATCAGAAGGGACAGAGTTTAATCTATACTGATGATCGTGCCATCACTGCCCAAGCAGGGAGCTTTGAAATGGGAGTGTGCTTGCTCCATCAATGTTTACAATTTACACAAATGATCAGCCACTGCCTGAAAGGACAGAGAATTTCATCTATGCTGATGATCGTGTCATCACCACCCAAGCAGGAAGCTTTGAAATGGGAGTATGCTTGCTCCACCAATGTTTACAATTTACACAAATGACCAGCCACTGCCTGAAGGGACAGATAGTTTCATCTATGCTGACGATTGTGCCATCACCACCCAAGCAGGGAGCTTTGAAATGGGAGTGTGCTTGTTCCATCAATGTTTACAATTTACACAAATGATCAGAAGGGACAGAGTTTAATCTATACTGATGATTGTGCCATCACTGCCCAAGCAGGGAGCTTTGAAATGGGAGTGTGCTTGCTCCATCAATGTTTACAATTTACACAAATGATCAGCCACTGCCTGAAAGGACAGAGAATTTCATCTATGCTGACGATCGTGTCATCACCACCCAAGCAGGAAGCTTTGAAATGGGAGTATGCTTGCTCCACCAATGTTTACAATTTACAGAAATGATCAGCCACCGCCTGAAGGGACAGAGAGTTTCATCTATGCTGACGATCTTGCCATCACCGCCCAAGCAGGGAGATTTGAAATGGTAATGTGCTTGCTCCATCATTGTTTACAATTTACACAAATGATCAGCCACAGCCTGAAGGGACAGTTTCATCTATGCTAATGATCATGCCATCACCGTCCAAGCAGTAAACTTTGAAATGGGAGTGTGCTTGCTCCATCAATATTTAAAATTTACACAAATGACCAGCCACTGCCTGAAGGGACAGATAGTTTCATCTATGCTGACGATTGTGCCATCACCACCCAAGCAGGGAGCTTTGAAATGGTAATGTGCTTGCTCCATCAATGTTTACAATTTACACAAATGACCAGCCACTGCCTGAAGGGACAGATAATTTCATCTACGCTGACAATTGTGCCATCACCACCCAAGCAGGAAGCTTTGAAATGGGAGTGTGCTTGCTCCATCAACGTTTACAGTTTACAGAAATGATCAGCCACTGCCTGAAGGGACAGAGAGTTTCATCTATGCTGACGATCGTGCCATCACCATCCAAGCAGGGAGCTTTGGAGTGGTTGAACAGAAGCTCTCTGAAGCTTTCCCTGCTCTTACCGTGTACTACAGGGAAAACCAGCTGATTCCAAATCCATCTAAAACACAGACATGTGATTTTCATCTTAAGAACAGACAAACATCTCAAGCTTCGAGGATTATCTGGAAAGGAATCCCACTGGAGCATTGCCACACACCCAAATACCTGGCGGTCTCTCTGGCCTCCAGATGAAAAAGATGGAAAATTTATTTATTTATTTAGGGCATTTTTATCCTGTCCTATCTCAACCTCTGCAGAGTGACTCAGGATGGCTACCAACTGGCACAGCACCAACAACAGAGTAAAACAAACATAAATATACACATTATAATAAAACAATATAACAATTGAAACAATTCGCCGATTTAAGCTGTCATCTTAAAAGCAGTACATTAAAACTATATCTTTGCCAGCAGTCTAATATGTGAATACTTGATCCCATAGCCAGGATTTCACTTTTTTCCGGAAGGTCAGGAGTGATGGAGCAGATCTGATCTCGTTTGGGAGGGAATTCCATAGCCGAGGGGCCACTATGGAGAAGGCCCTGTCTCTCATTCCCGCCAAACACGATTGCAATGGTGGAGGGACCGAGAGCAGGGCCTCCCCCGACGATCTTAAGGTCCTAGGTGGTTTGTAGAGGGAGATATGTTCGGACAGAATAAATAAAGTGCTAAAGCCAGCACTTTGAATTGTGCTCGGAAGCTAATAGGCAGCCAGTGGAGCTGGCACAACAAGGGCGTTGTGTGCCCTCGATACTCCGCTCCTGTAAGCAACCTGGCTGCCGAGCATTGGACTAGCTGAAGCTTCCAAACAGTCTTCAGAGGCATCCCCACGTAGAGTGCATTGCAGTAATCTATTCAGGATGTAACCAGAGCGTGGACTACCGTAGCCAAGTCCGATCTCCCAAGGTATGGGTGCAGTTGGCGCACAAGTTTTAATTGTGCGAAAGCTCTCCCGGCCACCACTGAGACCTGGGGTTCCAGGCTCAGCGATGAGTCCAGGATCACTCTCACACTATAGGAAAGCCTATATCTCTGTTTATATATTATCCGTCCTTGTTAATTGTATATTTTGATACAGCCAATGGGCTAATCAATAAAATATACATTCTAACCCTTGTGAATTGTATAACGGTATTGAATGTTTGTCATATATGTGTTCTGCAATCCACCCTCAGTCCCCTTGGGGAGATAGAGCGGAATATAAATAAAATATATTATTATTATTATTATTATTATTATTATTATCATTATTATTTTCATGGAACGTATCAGAATGCACAGATCTGTGGCTTCTCATACAGTATCCTGATTCGGGCACAAGTAAAGCTCTGAGGACATGATGAAATGAAGTCAAAGAGAAAGAGAGGACTGGGTCTTACCAGGGAAACGTCAGGCAGGGCGTTGATACTGCTTTGGCTGCCATCTCCTCCTTCTAAATCCGATGTATTCTAATAACAGGGAACCAAGAGGGGAAAAATAGGGAATTAGGAAGAAAGCATTTTTATGCAGACTGGTCATCTTTTATTTTTCAGTTTGAAACATTTTTTTTTCCAAAAAGCAATTACCGTATATACTCGAGTATAAGCCGACCCGAATATAAGCAGAGGCACCTAATTTTACCACAAATAACTGGGAAAATGTACTGACTCGAGTATAAGCCGAGGGTGGGAAATGCAGCAGCTACTGGTAAATTTCAAAATAAAAATAGATGCCAATAAAATTACATTAATTGAGACATCAGTAGATTAATGTTTTTGAATATTAACATAAAACTGTTGTGGCTGAGATGTTCCCTGATGATGAGGATGATGGGATTCAGATTCCTGGCTCTTTTTCTGTGCCTCAGATCTCTGGGCCTGCTTCTAGGTCTTTTTCTGAGGCTCCCACAGACAGTGGAGAGTCAACAACACAGAGGTTCTCAGAAGAAAAGAATTTTAACGGAGATAGCGAACAGGTGGCGAGGCTTTTGCCTCCTTCCCATGCTGATAGTGATAGTGACCTGACCTGGCAGGCTCGTCTTGATTTGCGGGTCAGGCAGAGTTCTTGCCTGGCCAGCAGACGAGAAGCCAGCTTGGGCCAAGGTCATCGCAATGCTTTCATGTTGGTGAGAGCATAATGTTTTCATGTTAGAAAGGTATTTAGGCTTCTTGCAAACTAAGGGAAAACGTCAGCTCAACGTCGCTTATTAGCCTGAAAGGTTTATGGAATAACCTTAGCCTGGAAAGCAGCATGCTTGGGATTTCTTGCATTGTGATTCTTGGGGCAATTGTTTTATTGCTTGTACCTTGGATTCTGTTTTGAACTTTGCCCATAAGGTTGTGTCTCTTGTTTTTACCTGAAGATCTTTGGAACTATATTCTGCCTTTAACTTAAATCTTTGGAATGTCCCACCTCGTCCCTATTTGCATCGCCGGGCGTGCAAAGCCACCGATGCAAAGAGGAAGGAGGTGGGCGTGGCTACAGCTAGCTCTTCTTGACAGCCACTGTGGGCGTGGCCTTCAGGAAGAGCTGTTCTTAGCCACGCCCACCTCATTCCCCTGCCATCCATCACCATTTGCAGTCACCCAGGGAAGGGAAACTGCAAGATTTTAAACTAACAGGGAGGAGGGGCACCTTCCATTAACGAAGTAAACGAAGCTATTCTGATTTTTGCTATTTCCAATCTTTTTTTCAAGAAAAGTTCAGAAATAATTTTAAAATCGAAACGCCAGCGCCCCCTGTATATGAAACGAGTTTAGAACCATTTTTTTCTTGATCAACCAAGCCTACTATTTACATAAAGTGGTTGGAAGATGACGCTCTCTCACTGTATGAACTTAGATGTTCTAAGTTATATTGACAAAACTGAATCGATAAATCGATCTCTCAAGTTTGTAAGTTTACTTTGCCCGGCCAATCTTACCTAAGTGTTCTGTAAATACAAGCAGTTCAAACAGAACTTTTGTACCAAAGGGAGAAATCAGTACATACTGTTCTGTTGAAATTTTCAGAGAGAAACGCTTTCAAGAAAAATCAGGTATTTTAAAACGTTTATATTTTAATTGTAATGCTGTAATATTAATATCATTTTTTAAAAAGTGTCCCCACAGTTTTGGTGTGTAACTTGGCATTTTTGGATTACGGCTACTTTTTTGTGTGTGTCAGGACCAACTTGAAAAACTGCAAGTTGCTTCCGGTGTGAGAGAATTGGCCGTCTGCAAGGACATTGCCCAGGGGACACCCGGATGTGTTACCATCCTGTGAGTGGCTTCTCTCATGTCTTTGCATGGGAAGCTGGAGCTCACCCTGCTCCCTGGATTCGAACCACCAATCTTTTGGTCAGCAGTCCTACTGGCACAAGGGCTTAACCCATTGAACCCCGGGGGCTCCAATTGCTACTACTAAACTTTGCCTTTTTTTTTGTTAGCCTACAGCACCCGGTATTCCCAGGCGGTCTCCCATCCAAGTACTAACCAGGCTCGACCCTGCTTAGCTTCCGAGATCAGACAAGATTGGATGTGTTCAGCATGGTATKSCTGTAGGCTTTCTTTTTATAGCTTACAGGTATTCCCAGGCGGTCTCCCATCCAAGTACTAACCAGGCTCGACCCTGCTTAGCTTCTGAGATCAGACGAGATCGGGTGTGTTCAGTGTGGTATGGTTGTAGGCTTTCTTTTTATAGCTTACAGCACCCGGTATTCCCAGGTGGTCACCCATCCAAGTACTAACCAGGCTCAACCCTGCTTAGCTTCCGAGAACAGACGAGATCAGGTGTGTTTAGTGTGGTATGGCTGTAGGCTTTCTTTTTATAGCTTACAGCACCCGGTATTCCCAGGCGGTCTCCCATCCAAGTACTAACCAGGCCGGACCCTGCTTAGCTTCCGAGATCAGACAAGATCGGGTGTGTTCAGGGTGGTATGGCCGTAGGCTTATTTTGTGTATTGTATTTTATATCCTGGTTTTTTTTATTTGTTCCATTCCCCCCTTTTTATATACTTACTCTAATTCTTTTATTGGGTCACTGTGGTGTGATGCTGGGTGAATGGGTGCTCCAATACTGGGGTGCAACATGCCAGAGTGAGCTTGAAGAGACATCAGTAACAACAACAACTTATTCATCTTGGCTCCATGACTGCATTACATCCCACCTCTTTCTTCCACATCCGTCTCTCCAAATCGTCTCATCTCACATGTATGTGGGTGCTAGATGTGCCTAATTATAATCGTAGCCCGGATGCTGTTATCAAATGTCAAAACAGAGTTGGGAAGGAATCCACAGAATCGTTGGATCTCAGCAAAGATAAGCAAAGGTTACAAAGCTGAATCTTCTCTCTGACAGTATGGCTGGCATTCAGGAAGGCGAATGTGTGTGCATTATATATATATATATATATATATATATATATATATATATATATATTAGCCGTCCCCTGCCACGCGTTGCTGTGGCCCACATGGAGGTTCTGTGTGGAGGGTTTGGCCCAATTCTATTGTTGGTGTGATTCAGAATGCCCTTTGATTGTAGGTGAACTATAAATCTCAGCAACTACAACTCCCGAATGTCAAGATTCTATTTTCCCCAAACTCTACCAGTGTTCACATTTGGGCATATTGAGTATTTGTGTAGAGTCTGGTCCAGATCTATCATTGTCTAAGTTCAAAGTGCTCTATGGATGTAGGTGAACTATAGATCCCAAACTACAGCCCATCAAACCCTTCCAGTATTTTCAGTTGGGCATGAGAGTGATGTGTGCCAAGTTTGGTTCAATTCCATCGTTGGTGGGGTTCAGAATGCCCTTTGATTGTAGGTGAACTATAAATCCCAGCTACAACTCAAATGTCAAGATTCTATTTTCCCCAAACTCCACCAGTGTTCACATTTGGGCATATTGAGTATTTGTGTAGAGTTTGGTCCAGATCCATCATTGTTTGAGTCCACAGTGATCTCTGGATGTAGGTGAACTACAACTCCAAAACCAAAGGACACTGCCCACCAAACCCTTCCAGTATTTTCTGTTGGTCATGGGAGAACTGTGTGCCAAGTTTGGTTCAATTCCATCGTTGGTGGGGTTCAGAATGCTCTTTGGTTGTAGGTGAACTATAAATCCCAGCAACTACAACTCCCAAATGTCAAGATTCTATTTTCCCCAAACTCCACCAGTGTTCACATTTGGGCATATTGAGTATTTGTGTAGAGTCTGGTCCAGATCCATCATTGTTTGAGTCTTCAGTGAACCCCACCCATGATTCATCTAGAGCAGTGGTTCCCAACCTTCCTAATGCTGCGACCCCTTGATACAGTTCCTCATGTTGTGGTGACCCCCAACCATAACATTATTTTCATTGCTACTTCATAAATGTAATTTTGCTCCTGTTATGAATCGTAATGTAAATATCCGATATGCAGGATGTATTTTCATTCACTGGACCAAATTTGGCACAAATATGCCCAATTTTGAATACTAGTGGGGTTTGGGGGAGGGACTGGTTTTATCATTTGAGAGTTGTACTTGCTGGGATTTATAGTTCATCTACAATCAAAGACATTCTGATCTCCACCAATGATGGAACTGAACCAATCTTGGCACACAGGACTCCCACGACCATCAGAAAACACTAGCAGGGTTTGGTGGGCATTGACCTTGAGTTTTGGATCTGTAGTTCATCTACATCCAGAGAGTGCTGTGGACTCAAACAATGATGGATCTGGACCAAACTTGGCATGAATATTCCATATGCCAAAATATGAATACAGATGGAGTTTGGGGGAAATAGACCTTGACATTTGGGATTTGTAGTTACTGGGATTTATAGTTCACCTACAATCAAAGAGCATTCTGAATCCCACAAACTACAGAATTGGGCCAAATTTCCCACACAGAACCCCCATGACCAACAGAAAATACTTAAGACCATCCAGTCCAACTCTCTTCACTAGGGCAAGAAAATGTAATCAGAGCCCTCCTGACAAAGAGCCATACATATATATATATATATATATATATATATATATATATATATATATGTACATGATTCACACACACAGATATAGTTTGGGAGTTGTAGTTCATCTACATCTGTGGACTCAAACAATGATGGATCAGGACCAAATTTGGCACAAATACTCAATATGCCCAAATGTGAGTACTAGTGGAGTTTGGGGGAAATAGACCTTGTCATTTGGGAGTTGTAGTTGCTGGGATTTATAGTTCACCTACAATCAAAGAGCATTCTGAACTCCACCAACAATAGAATTGGACCTAACTTTCCACACGTAACCCAGATGACCAAGAGAAAATACTGTGTTTTCTGATGGTCTTCGGCGACCCCTCAGACACCCTCTCATGACCCTCTCATGAGTCCCGACCCCCAGGGTGAGAAACACTGATCTAGAGCAAAGTTGCCCAACATGACAAACTTTAATTATTGATGGAGTTTCATGGGGTTAACCTGGCATGATGTGAGTTGTAGCACACCCACAACCTTATGCATTCTGGAAAAAAAAAAGTATTCTTCTATCCAAGCTAGTTGGAAATAAAAGGTACAAGAAGATACAAGAAGATGCTTGAAGATCTGCTTACCTCCATGAGGTCAATTAGCCACAAGAGTCGTTCCTGGGAGGGTGGATGGAGCAACGAAAAGGACCAAAACAAAGGGATTATGGAGCATGGCAGGGGAGAAAAAGACACCAGAGATGAGGAAAATAGATGAGCAACATCAGCCTCAAGAAAAAACAACAGTGCAATTCCACCACGGCCACCATTTTAGCATTGAACATAAATGAAGGGCCTGCTGGAGAAGACCAAAGATCTGTCTTTCAAGATGAGAATCATGCAATCCATGATTTCAGCATTCCTCGCCTTCAGTTATGTTGGCTTTGGGGACTTGGTAGTCCAACAACATTGGGAGGGTTGCTATAGGTTTTTCGGGCTGTATGGCCATATTCCAGAAGCATTCTCTCCTGACATTTTGCCTGCATCTATGGCAAGCATCCTCCCATACGACCCACCTTGAGAGGATCGTATGATTTCCACTTTGATTGCTCGTTGCACAAAGGCCAACCAGTTGACCATGGGATGCTTTCATTACGAATTTGCATGGTGAGGGTTGGACTAGATGGCCTCTTCCAGGGTTCTATGATTCTAGGCCGAAAGGGGTTCAAGGACAACCTCTCATCCATGTTCCCAGGTAATTCGACGACTGAATATGCAACTGAAAATTCTGGATAATGGCTCGTAAGAACAGGAGAAGATCCATGTTGGACCAGACCTCACGCCAGTCCTTGAGTTGACACATTGCAGCCAATGGATTCTCTGCAGTAAATTTTTAACAGCAGTTCTAACTGCTGCCTTTAAAGCGATGATTCAATTTTCTGTTGTTTTATTATACCACTTTTATTGCATACTGGGAAGCATTCGGCAGAAGGGTCGTATAGATAAGCCCCAAGTAGACAATAACCAAATGAGTCAGAAATGTATATATAGATTTTTCTTCTCATTCCTGTAAGGAATGCCCTCCTGGGTTTGGGCTAATTTTAAAGAAGGTATCAAATGCCAAGGTGTTCAGTGCGGATACCTTAGATCAGTAGTCCTCAAACTTTTTAAACAGGGGGCCAGTTCACTCTCCCTCAGACCGTTGGAAGGCCGGACTATAGCATTTCTGTCATCCCCACTCTCCCCTTCCTGTTAAACTTGGGGGGCGGGGGGGGGGGGGGGGGGGGGGGGTTGCAGGGGGTCCTTGAGCCTTGAGCCCTGTGCCCAGGTAGAGGTGGAGGGAAGGAGAGAGGGCTGTATGGTGAGGAGAGGATTCAGGGCTACCTACAGAGGTCCTCCTGGTCGATCGCAAACCGGATCGGGGTATAGAGTGGCAACCTGTGCTGGACAGGGTTACACTCCCCCTGAAGACACAGGTCTGCAGTCTGGGAGTCTTCTTGGATTCATCACTCACGCTTGAGGCTCAGGCGTCGGCGGTGTCCGGGAGGGCTTTTGCACAATTGAGACTCGTGCGCCAACTGCGACCGTACCTCACTAAGGCTGATCTGGCCGGGGTGGTCCATGCCTTGGTCACCTCTAGATTGGATTACTGTAATGCGCTCTACGTGGGGCTGCCCTTGAAAACGGCTTGGAAATTCCAACTGGTCCAATGGGTAGCAGCCAGGTTGTTAACTGGTGCCCCTTACACAGAGAGGTCAACCCTCCTGTTCAAGGAGCTCCACTGGCTGCAGTTTATTTTCCGAGCCCAATTTAAGGTGCAGGTGCTTACCTTCAAAGCCCTAAATGGTTTGGGACCATCCTACCTGCGTGACCGCATCTCCGTCTACGAACCCACACATTCACTTCGTTCATCTGGAGAGGCCCTGCTCGTGATCCCGCCTGCGTCGCAAGCACGTCTGGTGGGGACATGAGACAGGGCCTTTTCTGTGGTGGCCCCCCCAACTCTGGAACACCCTCCCCAAAGATCTTAGACAGGCCCCTACATTGGCAGTCTTTAGAAAGAACTTGAAGACCTGGCTGTTCCGATGTGCCTTTCCAGAACAGGAAAACTCTATAACAAGTCCCAGAAGCACTTTAGTAGAACTAAATCCTTACATACCTCCTGTCACATCAGCACTTTTAATCTTGTACTCATTACTCTGGCCCGGCCCAGTTTTATAGTGTCTTGATCTATTGTTTATTGCTTGTTGTTAATATTGTTTTAACTGTTTTTAATTTGCTTTAGGTGTTGTATTGTTGTGTTGTGTTTTGAGGCCTTGGCCTATGTAAGCCGCATCGAGTCCTTCGGGAGATGCTAGCGGGGTACAAATAAAGTTAATAATTGGCGGTACAGCTCTGTGTCTTTTCTGGAAGAGTGGAGACAAGGAATTCTCTTGCCTCCACTTTTCCAGACAGCAGCCTGCAGACCCACCTCCACCTCCACCTCCTCCGAGGATGATGAAGAAGAAGAAAGGAATATACAAAGAAAGAGAGAGAGAGTGAAGGAGAGACAGAAACAATGAAAAGGATCTCTGCGTTAGCAGAGCCAAGACTGATTCCACTGAGAGGGAGGCCTCCTCCTCGGCGGGCTGGATAAATGCCCTCCACGGGCCGCATGTGGCCCGCGGGCCGTAGTTTGGGGACCCTGCCTTAGATTAAAGCCTGCTACAGTTGCTCTTGCCATTAAGCAAAAAAGAAAAAGTGTTCATATCTCGCTTTTGGGCCTCCTGTAAACACTGATACTGAGTGATCATTCAGCACAAATTAGGATAGATGGGGAGTTTTAGTGGGGAGTCCATCTCAGCCCTGAGATAGCTTATTACTAGAGTTGTGCATTTGGGATAAACCTTGACCCATTTTGTGTCCTGGTCTTTGTGGGGGTGCTTATCCATTTTTGGGAGCCTCCTGAAATTAGAAGGGCAGATATCTGTTTTCACTCTGGGGTCCCGAAAGATCCGTTTTCTATTGGATCATTGGGGGGAGACTTTACAGGCTCCCCTACCCATCATTTTAGGTATTTATGCTCTACTCTAGAGGAGAGGCGCTCAACCATTGACAGGCGTGCACTTTAAGGAGGCTTCTTACGAGGGTTGAATAAAAAGTAATGCCCCCACCTTCATAACTCCTCAACAGATGGCAGTGCTGGTATGCAACAGGTATTGGCTTGTTCAGTAGACTCTCCTTTACAGTTCCATTTTTGCGGGAAGCCTTAGCATTGAATGGTTGTGTTGTTAAAGTGCGAAATATGGAATCCTGCACAATGCAACTTAAGCAACGTGCAGTCATTGAATTCTTGACAGCAGAAGGTGTCACCTCAACATCTTTAAACTTAATTGTCCAATGACGCACAGTACTCACATCAACACAATCACCATAAACAGCTTGCATTCTCTGATTAATCTCCTTTGGGGTGACACCTTCTGCTGTCAAGAATTCAATGGGACCAGGCTTTTGGACAACAGACATAATTAGCACTTTATTTGGACATTGACTGGAATGGCGATACGGCTGATGATACTGTTTTACTGTTTTTAATTAATGCTGTATGTACTGTTTTTAATGATTGCTTTATGTATTTAATTAATCATATAATTGTAATTGTTATGTAGTGGCATTGCATTGCTACTAAATGTAAGCCGTCCTGAGTCCCCCTTTGAGGGTAGAGAAGAGATGGGGTAGAAATGTTGTTGTTCATTCGTTCAGTCGTCTCCGACTCTTCGTGACCTCATGGACGAGCCCACGCCAGAGCTCCCTGTCGGCCGTCACCACCCCCAGCTCCTTCAAGGTCAGTCCAGTCACTTCAAGGATGCCATCCATCCATCTTGCCCTTGGTCGGCCCCTCTTCCTTTTGCCTTCCACTTTCCCCAGCATAATTGTCTTCTCTAGGCTTTCCTGTCTCCTCATGATGTTGCCAAAGTACTTCAACTTTGTCTCTAGTATCCTTCCCTCCAGTGAGCAGTCGGGCTTTATTTCCTGGAGGATGGACTGGTTGGATCTTCTCGCAGTCCAAGGCACTCTCAGCACTTTCCTCCAACACCACAGCTCAAAAGCATAGATCTTCCTTCGCTCAGCCTTCCCTAAGGTCCAGCTCTCACATCCGTAGGTTACTACAGGGAATACCATGGCTTTGACTAGGCGGATCTTTGTTGCCAGTCTGATGTCTCTACTCTTTACTATTTTATCGAGACTGGACATTGCTCTTCTCCCAAGAAGTAAGCGTCTTCTGATTTCCTGGCCACAGTCTGCATCTGCAGTAATCTTTGCACCTAGAAATACAAAGTCTGTCACGGCCTCCAGTTTCTCCCTCTATTTTCCAGTTGTCAATCATTCTTGTTGCCATAATCTTGGTTTTTTCGTTTAACTGCAACCCAGCTTTTGCACTTTCTTCTTTCACCTTGCTTAGAAGGCTCCTCAGCTCCTCCTCACTTTCGGCCACCAGAGTGGTGTCATCTGCATATCTAAGGTTGTTAATGTTTCTTCCAGCAATTTTCACCCCAGCTTTGCATTCATCCAGCCCCGCCCATCGCATGATGTGTTCTGCATACAAGTTAAAAAGGTTGGGTGAGAGGATGCAGCCTTGCCGTACGCCTTTCCCAATCTTGAACCACTCTGTTGTTTCATGGTCAGTTCTGACTGTTGCTACTTGGTCCTTGTACAGATTCCTCAGGAGAGGACAAGGTGGCTTGGGATGCCCATCCCACTAAGAACTTGCCACAATTTATTATGATCCACACAGTCAAAGGCTTTAGAATAGTCAATGAAGCAGAAGTAGATGTTTTTCTGAAACTCCCTGCCTTTCTCCATTATCCATCGGATATTGGCAATTTGGTCTCTCGTTCCTCTGCCTTTTCTAAACCCAGCTTGAACATCTGGCAACTCTCGCTCCATGTATTGCTGGAGTCTTCCTTGCAGGATCTTGAGCATTACCTTACTGGCATGAGAAATAAGGGGTAGAAATACCGGGGAAAAATAATAATGATTGCACGTTGCTTAAGTCGCATTGACCAACCGTCTGTGCAGGTTTCCTAACTTCGCACTTTAACAACACAACCGTTCAATGCTAAGGCTTCCTGCCAAAATGGAACTGTAGAGGAGAGTCTACTGAACAAGCCAGTACCTGCCGCAAACCAATACTGCCATCTGTTCAGGAGTTACAAAGGTGGAGGCATTACTTTTCATTCAAACTTTGTACCTGTTTCTTACTATAGAGGAGGGGCTTGACTGCAAGCAGGCATGCACACTTTCTGGGCCTGCATGCCACATACTTTACAAGGCAAGGAGGCAAGTGTACTCCAGAGAAGGTACTTGGCTGAAGGCAGTTGTGCGTGCTTTCTGGGCCTGCACACTACCCATACTTCACAAAGCAAGGAGGCAACTTTACTCCAGAGGAGGTGCTCGGCTGTAGGCAGTCATGCACGCTCTCTGGGCCTCCACACTACATGTACTTCGCAAAGCAAGGAGGCAACTTTACTCCAGAGGAGGTGCTTGGCTGTAGGCAAGCACACTCACTTTCTCAGTCTCCACACTACATGTACTTTCCAAGGCAAGGAGGCAAGTTTACTCCAGAGGAGGTGCTCGGCTGCAGGCAGTCATGCACGCTCTCTGGGCCTCCACACTACATGTACTTCGCAAAGCAAGGAGGCAACTTTACTCCAGAGGAGGTGCTTGGCTGTAGGCAAGCACACTCACTTTCTCAGTCTCCACACTACATGTACTTTCCAAGGCAAGGAGGCAAGTTTACTCCAGAGGAGGTGCTCGGCTGCAGGCAGTCATGCACGCTCTCTGGGCCTCCACACTACATGTACTTCGCAAAGCAAGGAGGCAACTTTACTCCAGAGGAGGTGCTTGGCTGTAGGCAAGCACACTCACTTTCTCAGTCTCCACACTACATGTACTTTCCAAGGCAAGGAGGCAAGTTTACTCCAGAGGAGGTGCTCGGCTGCAGGCAGTCATGCACGCTCTCTGGGCCTCCACACTACATGTACTTCGCAAAGCAAGGAGGCAACTTTACTCCAGAGGAGGTGCTTGGCTGTAGGCAAGCACACTCACTTTCTCAGTCTCCACACTACATGTACTTTCCAAGGCAAGGAGGCAAGTTTACTCCAGAGGAGGTGCTCGGCTGCAGGCAGTTGCACACTCTTTCTGGGCTAGCACATTCCACGTACTTTCCAAGGCAAGGAGGCAAGTTTACTCCAGAGGAGGTGCTCAGCTGCAGGCAGGTGCACACGCTTTCTGGGCCTGCACACTACACATATTTTGCAAAGCAAGGAGGCAAGTTTACTCCAGAGGAGGTGCTCAGCTGCACACTACACATACTTTCTGGGCCTGCACACTGCATGTACTTTGCAGAGCAAGGAGGCAAGTTTACTCCAGAGGAGGTGCTCAGCTGCTGGCAGGTGCTCGCACTTTCTGGGCCTGCACACTACACATACTTTCCAAGGCAAGGAGGCAATTTTACTCCAGAGGAGGCACTCAATTGCAGCCAGGCAGGCACACTTTTTGGGCCTGCACACTACATGTACTTTCTAAGGCAAGGAGGCAATTTTACTCCAGAGGAGGCGCTCGGCTGCACACTACACATACTTTCTGGGCCTGCACACTGCATGTACTTTGCAGAGCAAGGAGGCAGGTTTACTCCAGAGGAGGTGCTTAGCTGCTGGCAGGTGCTCACACTTTCTGGGCCTGCACACTACACATACTTTCCAAGACAAGGAGGCAAGTTTACTCCAGAGGAGGCACTCAGTTGCAGGCAGGCAGGTGCACTTTTTGGGCCTGCACACTACATGTACTTTCTAAGGCGAGGAGACAATTTTACTCCAGAGGAGGTGCTCGGCTGTAGGCAGGCTTTCTGAGTCTGCATGCCAGATACACATTCTTTCCAAGGTGCTGCTCACAAAAAGCAGGCAAGGAGCCTGGATCGGCTCCTGCTTATTTTCATGTTGAGCTGATTTTTGTACCGGGAAGGGCCTTCCTGTTATGTGCTCCCAAAGGTAATGAAAGTAGCGAAAGAATGGACGAGACTAAGGAAAACAGTTCCATACACAACCCTACTTATTGGTTTTCATGGCACTCTCCAAGGTGCTGAAGTAATCGGAAGGTAGCCTTCAGCACCTTGGAAAAGTCTCTCATGTTTCACACTCACTAATGTGTTTATGGTGAAACCTGGAATGGATCCACAGCCCCACTGACATAGAAGTCACCAGTCTCCAGCTTATGAGAGATACAACTAGTCTTTAAGTTTGTCAGTTTTCTCGCTATTTTCCTTTTTGGCTGCAACGGACTAACACAGCTTACCCCACTTGGAAACAAAAGCATCTGGCTGGCCTCTGAGGAAATGGGGATGTTGGGCTAGAGAGCCGTTTGGCCTGATCCAACAAGGCTTTTCTTCTGTTCTACAGAAACAAACATGGTAGGGCAGAAAGGAGAAAGAGGAAAGCTCGCCACATTCTTTTCCCCGCAGAAAGAGAGCTGCTGATTCTGTCTCGTCTCCTCCCTGCGACGCCTCTCTTCCCTGCCACCTTCGACTTATTGGAAAAGGCTTTCAGCTTCCATGCCCACTAATGCGTTTATGATGAAAGGTGTTTTATGGGTGGCAAATGGATTTAATAGTCGTGGGGTTGAACACTTAGCAGTGATTACGCTAACGTAATTAGATGGCATGTGTGCAGAGGTCTCCAAAATGTCATTGTTGTGACACTGGTTTCTCAGCAGAATATTGGTCAGAATACTGCTGATGTTGCGTCTGCTTGGTAAAGCTACTTAGAGGGTGCTTTACTAAAATAATAATAATAATAATAATAATAATAATAATAATAATAATTTATATTCTGTTCTATCTCTCCGAGGGGACACAGAGAGAATTAAAGAATATATATATGGCAAACATTAAATGCCGTTATACAATTAACAACAAAGACAGACAGTACACAGACAGAAGCAAGGCTTCCCTCCTTTTCATTTCTGGCATCTGGAGGCTGTGCTCGATTCTGGCCATGTGGAGGTGCTGTTGTTCCATTTTTCCATGCTAAGAAGCCTGTTGTCCATAGACACCTTCCTGATCGAATTGTTTGCATGTCTTCATGAGCACCTTTTATCTCCCTGCCGAAGCGGTACCTATTGATCTACTCACATTACTGTTTTCAAACTGCTAGGTAAGCAGGATCTAGGGCTAACAGCGGGAGCTCACCGTGCCTGTGGCTTGAACTGGCAACTTTCTGGTCAGCAAAATGTACTGCACCTGGCAGCATAATCTGCTGTGCTAATCGTGGCCCATTGAACCCCAAGAAGGCTCTGTCCAAACCCCATAAGCTGGACACCCTATTCATTGAGTTTGCTCTGATTAGATTTACACTCAGGTAGGGTTTTGCCTATCAAGGAAAAGATTCGTTTCTGTGGACTGTGGTGCAGCTGGCTGAGAGTCAGCTGCATTAAGATCACTACTGACTGAAAGATCATGAGTTTGAAGCCAGCCCGGGTTGGAGTAAGATTCCGACCAATTTGTGTAGCTTGCTGTTGACCTTTGCAGCCCGAAAGAAAGTTGCATCTGTCAAAGAGGAAATGTAGGTACCGCGTATGCGGGGAGGCTAATTTAACTAATTTACGACGACATAAAAATCTCCAGCAAGCATGCAAAGAATGAGGAAGTACTTCAACAGTGTCACAAATGGACGGTGAAGTGACAGCTCCCCTGGTGGCCAGAATTCCCTCATAAAAAAGCTGGAATGTTAAATAGCCTCTGTGTGTCTATCTATATATGTTGTATGTCTATGGCATTGAATGTTTGCCATGTACATTGTAATCTGCCCTGAGTCCCCTGCGGGGTGAGAAGGGCAGAATATAAATACTTTAAATAAATAAATAAATAAATAAATAAAATTAATCTTCCGTTAGGGATTCCTTTTCAGAGCGTTTTCAGTGAGGCTTAACCCTGTTTGAACTTTGTCTGCATTTAAATTGTATTTTCCCTTTGTTTAACATTAATGGGCACTGTCTTGCGTAGTATCAAGAGGGTGGGCTTAGGCTAAACTGCTAAGCTGCAGAAAATCCTGCTGATCGAAAGGTAAGCAGTTTAAGCCTGGCTCGGAGTGAGTACCTGCCATCAGACCCAGCTCCCTGCCACCTAGCAGATCGAAAACAGAAATGTGAGCAGATGTTTTAAATTGGGGAGGTATTAAAATTTGCCCATGAGGCCATGCAGCAATATGATCGGGAGGACATCCAAGGATGACAAAGCTCCTCAGCATGGAAGATGGGGCAACAGCACCACCCTGTGGCCAGAGTCAAGCACAGCCTCCAGATGCTGGAAATGGAAAAGATGGGAAAGTCTTTACCTCTGTTTATGTATTGTCTCTCCTTATTAATTTCATAACAGCATTGATTTTTTTGCCTTATATGTGTTCTGTAATCCGCCCTGAGTCCACTCGGGGAGATAGAGTGGAATATAAATAAATAAAGGCCGGAGGTTTAGCACAGCTGGTAAATCATCAGCAACTGTAAGATCTATCAACCGAAAAGTTGCAACTTCAAAGCCCTGGGTCGGCGTGAGCGGCCGACCGTCAGCCCTGTTCACTGTTTACCTAAGCAGTTCGAAAACAGCTTTAGCTGTAATTAGAGAAATTAGGTACTGCTAAAAGCTCGGGAGGTGTTTTACAACGCTATAAAGAAAAGGGAGATCAGAAAATGCTGGAATGAGGAAGTCCTGACGGCTCTTCGTCATAGAGGATGGAGTGAGAGCACCCCCTATGGACTTGAGCCCAACCGTCCATGGCATCGAAACAACACCTCCTTCTGTGCTGTCTGTCTGTGTACTGTCTATACAAACGGCATTGCATGTTTGCCGTGTATGTATACTTGTGATCCACTCTGAGTCCCCTTCGGGGTGAGAAGGGCGGAATAGAAATAAAGTATTATTATTATTAAAGTATATTAATTGGACCTCTCCAATTCAATCAACCCAAACATGCACACAGACTCGCCTTTTTGCATCTCGCTGACAGACTACCTGCGGTCTTTCTTAGCATCCTATGTATAAACACGGCATCCATAACGAGTACCTACCCGTGCCGAACTAACAGTAGTGGAAGTGAAGTGGCTCCCGGTGGAAGAGACCGTATCGCCATAAGACATCATGGAGAAGGAGTCCGTCCCTGTCCCTGTTCCGGAGGGCTGGCGGGCCTTCATGAATTCAATCTCTCTCTTCAGAACCAGGTTGTCGAATCGGTCGAGATCCTGAGGCGAGATCACACCTCTCACTTCAGACAAAAGCGAGAACTGCATAGCAAGGGAAGAAAAGCGGAGAGTTAAAAGACGGACCTGCCGCATATCCTCTCCCCCTACCAGGTGGAACCTCTTCTCCTGAAGTTTGCTCTTTGCATCCCACCTGGAGTCCTCTTTCCTCTCACCTTGGCATGAGTGTTCAGTAGTTCAAAGAGAGCCATGACGAGGGCATCCACGGGGATGTTGTTCTCTTTGTATTCATCCAAGTAATAGCCCATGGTGGCTCTTTCGGGCTCGTTCAGGAGATGCCGCGCTTGTTCCTCCAGCATCACTCGGCTTTGGTTCACCAGGCTGCTGAGGGTTACTTGGGATCCCGCCAAACCTCTGTAGAAAGATGGCTGGGAAGAGGAGGAAGAGAAGAATAGCAATGTGAGAAATCTTGAGCAAGAAGACATAGTTTTTATAATTTTGTTATTATTCATTGCTTTTATGGTTTTTAAATGTATTGTGATGTTTTTGTTTTTTATTACTGTACTAGCTTGGGGACCCGGCGCTGCCCGGGTTATTAGAGAAAGTGGGTAATGGGGGTTCTGTATACCAAGTTTGGTCTTTATCGGTCATTGGATGAGGGTGGCAGTGGTTTCAGTAAGTGAGTGAAGGTGCTGCAAGTCCCATCATCCATGGTCAACCCTCCTCCAAACTGAAACAGGATGTAGATAGGGTCATGGGGGCCCTGTGTGCCAAGTTTGGTCTTGATCAGTCATTGGTTCAGGGTCGCAGTGGTTCCAGTAAGTGAGTAAAGGTACTGCAAGTCCCATCATCCATGATCAACCCTCCTCCAAACTGCAGCAGGATGTAGAGTGGGTCATGGGGGCTCTGTGTGCCAATTTGGTCTTGATTGGTCATTGGATGAGGGTCGCAGTGGTTTCAGTAAGTGAGTAAAGATACTGCAAGTCCCATCATCCATGGTCCATCTCCCTTAGAACTGCATCAGGATGTAGAGTGGGCCATGAGGACTCTGTGTGCTAAGTTTGGGCCCGGTCTGTGATTTGTAGGGGCTACAATGTTCTGTGGGAAGTGAATCGGGTGAAGGGACTGCAAATCATGTCTTTAGTGGCCCATCTTGCCCTGAACCGCACCAGGTTTTAAAGTGGGCCATTGGGCCTCTGTGTGCCAAGTTTGGTCCTGATCCATCACTGGTGTGGGCCACAGTGCTCTAAGGTAGTGAGTTCAAGTACTGCAAGTCCCGTCATCCATGGTCCATCCTTGCTCAAACTCAATAAATAAAAATAAAATATATATGAAGGCCACACCTGTCAGCCAAGAGGGTGGCATGCTAGCGTGCCCAAAGTGATGCCACATCAGGTCCAAATACTATTCTGTTTAGTTTTAGTCATAGGCGAATTTGAGTTGTCCCTCCATCTGGGACCGCAACCATCCAAGAGTCTTTGGGATGGCGTGGGGACTCTGAACATCCGCAGCTCATGTGCCACTGTCTCAGCTGATCTCATATCACAAAGGATTATAATCTCACCTGCTTCATAGGAAATCTGCTACAAAACAGGAGCTTTTTTGTTGAGTTCCAGGGCCAGAGAAGCAAATGGCAAAAACAGAAGATTGGCCTGCCTCAGGGGAGCATGCTTGCTCCATCAATGTTGACATTTACACAAATGATCAGCCCCTGGTGGCGCAGTGGGTTAAACCCCTGTGCCGGCAGGACTGAAGGCCGACAGGTCGCAGGTTTGAACCCGGGGAGAGGTGGATGAGCTCCCTCTATCAGCTCCAGCTCCTCATGCGGGGACATGAGAGAAGCCTCCCACAAGGATGATAAAAACATCAAATCATCCAGGCGTCCCCTGGGCAACATCCTTGCAGACGGCCAATTCTCTCATACCAGACGCGACTTGCACTTTCTCAAGTCGCTCCTGACAAGACAAAAAAAAAAAAAGCCGCTGCCAGAAGGGTCAAAGAGCATAATCGATGCTGACAAAGGCTTTTGGGATTCTTGCAGGAAATGAAACTCAATCACACAATTATTCCCTTTTGCTGACTTGCGGCTTCTCTGCATAGATACAAAGGCCCAAATGCTGTTGGTAAATCTCAATACAAGTGAACACAGCAATCAATTATTGAATGGAGAGTCAATGTGTACAACAGTACAATTGATTCAATGGGGCTGCCTTAGTTGGGGCCTGTCCCAGGGGAGCATGCTTGTTCCATCTATGTTTAACATTTATACAAATGATCAGCCACTCCCAGAAGGGACAGAGAGTTTCATCTATGCTGACGATCATGCCATCACCACTCAAGCAGGGAGCTTTGAAATGGCTGAACAGAAGCTCTCCAAAGCTTTAGGTGCTCTTATTGCCTATTACAGGGAAAACCAGCTGATTCCTAATCCATCTAAAACACAGACATGTGCTTTTCATATGGAGAACAGACATCTTGAGCTCTGAGAATGACCTGGGAAGGAATCCCACTGGAGCATTGCAGCATACCAAAAAACCTGGGAGTTACTCTGGTCTGACATACAAGAAGCACTACTCAACTAGGTGCTATTACAGGGAAAACCAGCTGATTCCTAATCCATCTAAAATGTAGTTGTGTGCTTTTCACCTTAAGAACAGACGAGCATCTCGATCTTTGAAGATGACCTGTTTGGGTATCAGCCAGCATGTCAATGACTTAAATCAGGAAACAGTTTTCTAAGATCTACAGAGACACTCGTTGGAACATCACAGCAAGCGAGAGTCCAAAAGTGGCAGGCTCAAACCCAGGACCTCAATCAATGGCTGATAACAAATGAGAGACTCCCCCCTGAGCACACAGAAGAATGGGCGACTTGGAAGGCGCTGAACAGACTGCGCTCTGGCACCACGAGATGCAGAGCCAATCTTTAAAAATGGGGCTACAAAGTTGAATCCATGATATGCGAGTGTGTAGAAGAGCAAACTACAGACTATCTGCTGCAATGCAACCCGAGCCCTGCTACATGCACAATGGAGGACCTTCTTATAGTAACACCAGAGGCACTTCAAGTGGCCAGATACTGGTCCAAGGACATTTAATCAACTACCAAGCTTGCAAACTTTATGTTTTGTTTGTTTGTTTGTTAAAAAATGCAATACAACTATTTGGTTTGCTCCTAACATGATAAATAAATAAACCAGGGAAGGAATCCCACTCGAGCATTGCAGCACACCAAAATACTTGGGAGTCACTCTAACTTAACAACAACAACAACAACAACAACAACAACAACAACAACAATTTATTTATATATACCCTGCCACCATCTCCGCAATGGGGTCTCGGGGCGGCTAACATGAGGCCAAGCCCAAAAATGCAATACAGCACAAGAAAACACATAAAATACAGAATGCAGAGAATTCTGCAATTACATCAGAAAATAGTTACAGTAGCAAAATAAAATAAATAAAACAAATTAACACAATATAAAATCGAACAGGATGGGCAGGCCAAATGGACGAGATAAAATGATAAAACCCTGGGTGAGGTAGGAATAGAAAATATGTAATTGAGGGGAGCCCAAGAAAGATAAAACAGTGGGGTAAGGCTTTTTTTTTTTAACATCAAGCAAAAGGTGGGCACTAGAAATAATATCATTTGAAAGCTGACGGGCACAACCTGGGAATCACAATTAGACACAGTGAAGACATCTACCCTTGCACTTTGCTACTCTGCTGCTGAATACGCATGCCCAGTGTGGAACACATCTCACCATGTTAAAACAGTGGATGCAGCTCTTAATGAGACATGCTGCATTATCACAGGATGTCTACACCCAACATCACTGGAGAAACCACACTATTTAGCTGGTATTGTACCACCTGACATTAGCCGGGCTAGTAGCAGCCAGTAATGAAAGGACCAAGGCACTGACATCTCCGACGCATCCTCGGTTCGGATATCAGCCAGCACACCAACGTCTTAAATCAAGAAATAGCTTCCTAAGATCTTCAGATATATTCGCAGGAACACCTCAGCAAGCGAGAGTCCAAAAGTGGCAGGTAAAAACCCAGAAACTCATTTATTTGTCGTGTCCGGGCAACCAGTCAATTGTATTACATTTCTAACAGAACAAAACAAACAAACAAACAAACAGAGAAAACACAAAATTTGCAAGTTTGGTAGTTGATTAAATGTCCTTTGACCAGTATCTGGCCACTTGGAGTGCCTCCAGTGTTGCTGCAAGAAGGTCCTCCATTGTGCATGTGGCAGTCTGTTCAGCGTCTTCCAAGTCACCCAGTCTTCTGTATGCCCAGGGGGGAGTCTTTCATTTGGTATCAGCCAAAGGTTGAGGTTCTGGGTTTGAGCCTGCCACTTTTGGACTCTTGCTTGCTGAGGTGTTCCAGCGAGTGTCTCTGTAGATCTTAGAAAACTATTTCTAGATTTAAGTCATTGACGTGCTGGCTGATACCCAAACAGGGGATGAGCTGGAGATGTCTCTGCCTTGGTCCTTTCACTATTGGCTGCTACTTCCCGGTGGATGTCAGGTGGTGCAATACCGGCTAGACAGTGTAATTTCTCCAGTGGTGTAGGGCGCAGACACCCCGTGATAATGAGACATGTCTCATTAAGAGCCACATCTACTGTTTTAGTGTGGTGAGGTGTGTTCCACACTAGGCATGCATACTCAGCAGCAGAATAGCATAGTGCAAGGGCAGATGTCTTCACTGTGTCTAGTTGTGATCCCCAGGTTGTGCCAGTCAGAAACTCAATGAGTGGCCGATACTGGATGAGAGACTCCCTCCTGGCACAAAGAAGACTGGGCGACCTGGAAGGTACTGAACAGACTGTGCTCTGGCACCACGAGGTGCAGAGCCAATCTTAAGAAATGGGGATAGAAAGTGGAATCCACGACATGTGAGTGAGAAGAGTAAACCACAGACCACCTACTACAATGCAACCTGAGCTCTGACACATGCACAATGGAGGACCTTTTCACAGCAACACCAGAGGCACTCCAAGTGGCCAGCTTCTGGTCAAAGGAAATTCAGCATAATGCCATGTTTTTTTTATCTTTGTTTGTGGTTTCTTATGCATTATAACTCTATTCGCAATTAGCTTCTGACACGATAAATAAATAAACCTCCCTGTTCCAAACGTGACTGCTTTTGTTTGTTTGTTTGGATGCTTCTCCTCCTGCCTTCAATGCACTGAGGAATGCACGCCATGTATATGGAGATGATTTGCTCTGGGGGGAGGGAATAACAGATGCAGCGCCAGGAAACGGTAAAGAGTGGAAAAACACAACTCGGCAAAGAAGGACGCCACTCGCAAATCTATTTATCAGCCAGAACCACCTGCTCAAGTTAAGAGCTGATTTGCATATAAAAAGGACAAAACTCAGCAATGCATGGAACGGGCGGTGGTGCCCAAATGTCTTGCTATTAGGGAAGCGGGGTGTGAGCCGCGGCTCCACCAGCACCAGATGACAAGGATGTGATGTCTCCAGACAGAGCAGGAATAAGGAAACCAAATGTATCAAGGGGCCAGGTCAATGCTTCTGTTCCTGACAACCTCTGGAGATAAGAACGGAAATGTAGGGTTCCATGAACCCTTTTGTGAGTGCAACAGAACTGAACGCAAATCACTAGTCTTCATACAAGGTGAGAAGAGGTAAGGTGTGTGGAGGAGATGTGCATTTGAGGGTTTTCCTCCTCATGGATGAAAACACATACCTATATCCATCTATTTATCTATCTCCATAATAAAAAAATGAAATATGTATGTGTGTATGTGACTGGGGTGCCCACTTCCACAGACAGGCTCCCACTTCCACAAACAGCTTTAACCCACAGTGCCGAGGAGCCACCAAAAGCCCTCCCTCCAATGACATTTCAGGTTATAGCGAGTGCTCCCAAGCCCTGGCAGTGCCCTCCCCAAACTGCCCACCACCCAAGGAATGCTTTCATTTGGAGACAATTTCACCCTAGATTTTAAGTGTTTCCTCCACCATGGACATCCCAGTGTTTTTTACTCTCTCAATTGGTGTGGAATTTGCATGATCCCGCCGACTACCTTTCCCTTAACCTTTTTCTACTTTTTTCTACTCTGTCTGCAACTATAGGAAGATCAGAACTAATCAGCAACTGAACATACTTAGAGGAGTTTGGGGGGTGATGGAAGTTGTAGTTCAACCTGCATCAAGTCAGAGCACTGTAACCCCCACTGACAATGGACCTGGACCACATTTGGCACACAGAACCCCCATGACCTAAGAGAGGTTTGGGGAGAATTCACTTTGATTTATAGCCCTTGTAGGCACTGGGATTTATAGTTCACCTGCAATCAGAGAGCACTCTGGACCTCACCAACAATGGTCCTGGATCTAACTTGGCCTCTTGAAAGTACCAAGACCTGCGTGTTTGGTATGGCTGGCCCGTCTCATCATGATCATGAACTACAACCACAAAACTGTTCCTTGGACCTACTCTCATGCGTGAAATGTCCTTACCTTTGCTGTTCCTTCTGCCGTAGGATCTCCAGAGGCCCTAGAGCGAAGATAGCCATCATTAACACCAAGCTGAAGATGGGAAACCAAAGAGCTTGCTTAGCTTCTGGGTCTTGAAAACATTTAATATTGTAATGAACTGCCTATCTGCGGTGTCAATTGTTTCAAAATTTGTATTACTGAAAATTAAACAGCACTGAATTGTTACCCATGAAAAAGAGTTGGAAGAAATGTATTGATTCATTAGGTTTTGCAATTGATTCAATGGGTCTAGGCCACTTGGGACTGCCCCACAGAACTCAAGCTGAAGGTTTCTCTGAATGGGGAACGTGACACAGTCATAATGGTTGTCAGAGAAGGAAAAACATATCCACCTAAAGCCGAGGAAGCTATCCTGACCCTAAACAATGCCTGTCATCAGTAGTGGACTGGATGAGGGCCAACAAATTGAAACTTAATCCAGGCAATTCAGAGGTACTCCTGACCAGTCAGAAGGCAGACCAGTCTGAGACTGGTCGGCCTGACCCTGAACCAGCAGATGTTGTGCCTAGTGGGGAAACAACATCTGCTGGTAGACACAGAGGGCGAAGAGGTCTTGAGGGAGTGTAGATTACATTTCAGGACTCAAGTGTGAAAAGCAGGAAATTAAGACATTCCCAGAGAATTACAGAAAGGAGTTTCAGGTCTAGCTGTGGTAACGATGATGTCATGAGTGGTTTTTTTTTTTTTGGGGGGGGGGGGGGTAAATTAGGCATTTGATTCTCAGTAATTCAGAGAAGACAACTTTGCTGTGGGGAAACAGCCTTCTGTTTAAGGTGCCAAGTTTTCAAGTCTTTGGTTCTTGTAATATCAAGATTCTTTTTTCATGTTCATGCCTTTGCACCTTGGAAGAGTTTTGCCTGGATTAAGTTTCCTTTATTCATGTTCCTGCATTTTATTTTGAATTATTTCTATGATCTTGGATTTCTACTTCCTGTGAAGTTCCCATGGATTTCTTAAAGACTTTTATTGAACTCTGATTGCTTTTGTATATTGCTGTTTATATCCTGATTGCTACTTGTGGATATAAGACTTTCCCCCTTTTTATTATTCTTTTATTATTCTTTATTCAATAAGCCCTTTATTATTGGCCTCTGGTATAGTGCTGGGTGAAGAGGTGCCTCGGGGCTAGGGTTTTTTTTTTTTTGTCGTGTCAGGAGTGACTTGAGAGACTGCAAGTGGCTTCTGGTGTGAGAGAACTGGCTGTCTGCAAGGACGTTGCCAAGGGGACGCCCAGATGATTTGATGTTTTTATCATCCTTGTGGGAGGCTTCTCTCATGTCCTCGCATGAGGAGCTGGAGCTGATAGAGGGAACTCATCTGCCTCTCCCTTGAACCTGCGACCTGTCTGTCTTCAGTCCAGCCGGCACAGGAGTTTAACCCACTGTGGCACCGGGGGTTCCAGGGCTAGGGTGAAACAGTTTACATTGAACACTAAAGCTAGGGCCGAGCTATAACACAGCTGGTTAATTGCCAGCAGCAATAGATCACTGCTGACTGGAAAGTGGCAAGTTTGAATTCCGAGTCGGATTGAGCACCCGACTGTTAAGCCTAGCTTGCTGTCCAGCTAAGCACCTGAGCTATTAGGTACCGCTTAAAACCGGGAGGTATTTTATGACACCATAAAAATGCCAGCAATCAAAGAACACGAATGAAATATGGTCAAAATGACTTGTTGTCATAATGGATGAAGCCACAGCACCCACCTGTGGCTGGAATTGAGCATAACCTCCAGGTGCCGAAGTTGGAAAATGCCAAAATACCTCTATCTGTCTGTCTGTCTTGTATATCTAAAAATGGCACTGAATGTTTGCCGTGCATGTGTGCATCATGCTCTGCCCTGAGTCCCCTTCGAGGTAAGAAGGACGGAATATAAATACTGTAAATAAATAAAAAAATAAAGCTAGGGTTGTCCATGCCATAATCCTTCACATTTCTATGTATGGTTGTGAAAGTTGGATAGTAGTGCTAACTAAACTGTAGTGCTGGAGAAGAGGTCTATGGATACCGTAGACTCCTTAAAAACAAATAAATGGGCCATAAAGCAAATCAAGACTGAACTTATTCCTAGAAGCCAAGAAGACTACTTTGGCTATAGCAAGAGAAGGGATGGGGAAAATACGGGTTATACACCAGAGATATTAACCAAATAAAGGAAAATCTAACAGGATCGAGAAAGATAGCATATGACTGTTGGCAAAAATGGCAAAAACGATGGGCATATAAAATATCAGGAAAGACTCCAATTAAGAGCAAGGTTAGCAAATAACTTAGAAGAAAAGGGATTAAGGAGGGTAAAAGATATGTGGAAACAAGATGGAGAGATAATTAATTAACCAGAGTTTTTTGAAAAGGTGGGGGGGGGGAGAAAATTGGTTAAAAATAAGAGGGATTTGGGAAAAAGTAAAAAAAAGAGGGTGCACAGCCCACTGAAGAACTAAAGGTAGATAAATTGCTAAATGCAAGAGAAAAAACAAGTAAAGGAACAGTGGCAAAAATATATAATTTAATGGTAGAGGATAAAGAGTTTATGATTAGAGCAATAAGTAACAAATGGAATGGAGTTAAATCATTACAGACACATGAAATAGAAGAAATAATTAGGAACATGAATAAAATAAAAACAGAAAAATACAATGAATTAGAAAAAAAAGATGATATTAAGATGGTATAGAACTCCTGAACAATTGGCTTATATGTTAAAAGGAAAGAATTCGAAGTGTTGGCATTGTAATCAAGAAAAAGGTACTTATTCACACATGTGGTGGGAATGTTCTGAAATTAAAAAATTCTGAAATTGATACAAGGAAAAATTCAGGAGATATTCCAGATAAAAATTCAAATTAATAATGATTTGCTACTATGGGGAGTGTTGGATCATCCGAGTGTAATAACTAATTGCCAGAAGTTATTTAAGGTAACAATAAGAGCAGCCCATGCGGTGATCGCTAGAGGATGGAAAGACAAATCGAAATGGACGTTAAGTAATTGGAATGATTATATTTATGACTAAGTGTTGTTAGATATTATGGGAATTATGACTAACCAAACACCAAGAATGGATAAAGAAAAGATGAAAGGTCTACTTCAACTGGGTGAAAAAAGGAGGAGCCAACAATCACATCAAAGAAAAAATACAAAGACTCTACAAGTGGCTGGATCTGCAAGATTAGTAGACCTGAATACTGCTCTTGATGACTTGGAGGTCTTTCCTCCTTGGGGATCACCATAAGCCAAAGTCAACTTGATGGCAGTGAAGGACACCAGATACAAACCCTGCTGGGTTGACCACAGTCTCTCCGATCTGTGAGCTGGCGATCCATTTGGTCTCGTCAACAGTGGTTCGAGCATGAGGCAGCCTCCCGACGTCTTTGATCGTCATGATGAGGTGGCGAGAGGACTTCAGGAGCTTCACTGCTTCGTCGTGGGGGATACTGAGGAAGCTTCGGCCATTCACCTCCAAAATCTGGTCTCCAACCTGTGCGGTGAGAAAGGAGGGATGAGTGGAAGAGAGGATGGAAGTTTCAGTGCAGTGTTGCCCAACCTTTGGTCCTCTGAATTTGACCATTGGACAACCTGAGCGTTGGAGTCCCAAAGACATGGAGAACGAAAGGTTGGACACCTCTTCTTTAATGTCCTATGAGACCCATACACAACTTTTTACAAAGGAAAGATTCAAATCCTCATGGTGATGAATAGCTGAATTTAACAGAAATGTAACTGAGTCAGACCTTTAGTCCATCTAGTTCACCATCATCAGCACAACAATCATCACCATCAATAACGTCTTCTAACCCGGGCAATGCTGTTTATATACGCTAGGACAGAGTTCCATAAAAGAAAGGTTATCGCACTGTGAATCGTTAATCACTTTCACCCAAGCGAGCACAATTCCCATCCCCAACAAAAACAAGGCTGCTAGATGGAGTTTTAACAAGGCGCCTGATAGGTGTTCCATCACTGTCGTTTTGGTATATAAGAGGAGTCTAAAAGTGGGCTGGGAGGGTTGGTGCTTTTGTTAGATTTGGCCAAACTGCGTTGGCTCGCAGCCTCCTGCTTCAGGGTGACCTTACAAAGCGTGCAATGTCACAAAATGCCTTCTGGTGATTAATAATGCACTCTCTAGCGAGGCAGTGTAGAGCTGCCTTGGTTTCTAATGACCCTTCCAAGCCCCAAGGTAGGGTCAGAGTTCTCCTTTCATGCAGGATACAAAGCTATATGCCTGAAGGGGTGGGAAGATCACCCAAGAGGTCCATCTCCAAATGAAGAATGAATCATAGGATGATACAGTTGGAGGAGGCCATCCAGTCCAACCTCCCTGCCATGCAGAATGAAAGGAGTCAGATGGGGCAGCTCCTTTCAATGACATGACAGCTTATAGTGAGCACCATGAACATGTCCAAGAGTCCTGCCAATGTTCTCCACAAACAACATTCTGCCCACCACCCAAGTGAAGGTTTTCATATGGGGACCATTTCCTCCTAGATTGATGTGTTTCCTCCACAACAGACATCCCAGTGTTTCTTACTGTATGAGTAAAGAGAGAGGGGGCCAGGGGACAGTTCCGTCTCGTCTCCTGCATATGTCATCAGCTGGGGACCCCTCCCCACAGCACCAACTGCCGCTCTGGGTCAGAGTGAAGAGAGAGGGGGGCAGGGGACAGTTCCATCTTGTCTCCTGCATATGTCCTCAGCTGGGGACCCTCCCCCAGCACCAACTGCTGCTCTGGGCCAGAGTGAAGAGAGAGGGGTCCAGGGGACAGTTCCATCTTGTCTCCTGCATATGTCTTCAGCTGGGGGCCCTTCCCCCCAGCACTAACTGCCGCTCTGGGCCAGAGTGAAGAGAGAGGGTTCCAGGGGACAGTTCCATCTTGTCTCCTTCATATGTCATCATTTGGGGACCCCCTCCTCCCAGCACCAACTGCTGCTCTGGGCCAGAGTGAAGAGAGAGGGGGCCAGGGGACAGTTCCATCTTGTCTCCTGCATATGTCCTCTGCTGGGGATCCCTCCCCCCTGCACCATCTGCTGCTCTGGGCCAGAGTGAAGAGAGAGGAGGCCAGGGGACAGTTCCATCTTGTCTCCTGCAAATGTCATTGGCTGGAGACCCCTCCCCCCAGGACCAACTGCTGCTCTGGGCCAGAGTGAAGAGAGAGGGGGCCAGGGGACAGTTCCATCTTGTCTCCTGCATATGTCCTCAGCTGGGGACCCTCCCCCAGCACCAACTGCTGCTCTGGGCCAGAGTGAAGAGAGAGGGGTCCAGGGGACAGTTCCATCTTGTCTCCTGCATATGTCATCAGTTGGGGACCCCTCCCCACCAACTGTCGCTCTGGGCCAGAGTGAAGAGAGAGGGGGCCAGGGGACAGTTCCATCTTGTCTCCTGCATATGTCCTCTGCTGGGGATCCCTCCCCCCTGCACCATCTGCTGCTCTGGGCCAGAGTGAAGAGAGAGGAGGCCAGGGGACAGTTCCATCTTGTCTCCTGCATATGTCATCAGTTGGGGACCCCTCCCCCCAGACCAACTGCTGCCCTGGGCCAGAGTGAAGAGAGAGGGGGCCAGGGGACAGTTCCATCTTGTCTCCTGCATATGTCATCAGTTGGGGACCCCTCCCCCCAGCACCAACTGCTGCTCTGGGCCAGAGTGAAGAGAGAGGGGGCAGGGGACAGTTCCATCTTGTCTCCTGCATATGTCCTCAGCTGGGGACCCTCCCCCAGCACCAACTGCTGCTCTGGGCCAGAGTGAAGAGAGAGGGGTCCAGGGGACAGTTCCATCTTGTCTCCTGCATATGTCATCAGCTGGGGACCTCTTCCCCCACCACCAACTACTGCTCTGGGCCAGAGTGAAGAGAGAGGCCAGGGGACAGTTCCATCTTGTCTCCTGCATATGTCATCATTGGGGACCCCTCCCCAGCACCAACTGCTGCTCTGGGCCAGAGTGAAGAGAGAGGGGGCCAGGGGACAGTTCCATCTTGTCTCCTGCATATGTCATCTGATGGGATCCCTCCCCCCTGCACCATCTGCTGCTCTGGGCCAGAGTGAAGAGAGAGGAGGCCAGGGGACAGTTCCATCTTGTCTCCTGCAAATGTCATTGGCTGGAGACCCCTCCCCCCAGGACCAACTGCTGCTCTGGGCCAGAGTGAAGAGAGAGGGGTCCAGGGGACAGTTCCATCTTGTCTCCTGCAAATGTCATCAACTGGGGACCCCTCCCCCCAGGACCAACTGCTGCTCTGGGCCAGAGTGAAGAGAGAGGGGTCCAGGGGACAGTTCCATCTTGTCTCCTGCAAATGTCATCAACTGGGGACCCCTCCCCCCAGGACCAACTGCTGCTCTGGGCCAGAGTGAAGAGAGAGGGGTCCAGGGGACAGTTCCATCTTGTCTCCTGCATATGTCATCAGCTGGGGACCCCTCCCCACAGCACCAACTGCTGCTCTGGGCCAGAGTGAAGAGAGAGGGGGCCAGGGGACAGTTCCATCTTGTCTCCTGCATATGTCATCAGCTATGGACCCCTCCCCCCAGCACCAATTGCCGCTCTGGGCCAGAGTGAAGAGAGAGGGGTCCAGGGAACAGTTCCATCTTGTCTCCTGCAAATGTCATCAGCTGGGGACCCCTTCCCACAGCACTAACTGCCGCTCTGGGCCAGAGTGAAAAGAGAGGGGTCCAGGAGACAGTTCCATCTTGTCTCCTGCATATGTCATCAGTTAAGGACCCCTCCCCCCAGCACCAACTGCCGCTCTGGGCCAGAGTGAAGAGAGAGGGGGCCAGGGGACAGTTCCATCTTGTCTCCTGCATATGTCATCAGCTATGGACCCCTCCCCCCAGCACCAATTGCCGCTCTGGGCCAGAGTGAAGAGAGAGGGGTCCAGGGAACAGTTCCATCTTGTCTCCTGCAAATGTCATCAGCTGGGGACCCCTTCCCACAGCACTAACTGCCGCTCTGGGCCAGAGTGAAAAGAGAGGGGTCCAGGAGACAGTTCCATCTTGTCTCCTGCATATGTCATCAGTTAAGGACCCTCCCCCCAGCACCAACTGCCGCTCTGGGCCAGAGTGAAGAGAGAGGGGGCCAGGGGACAGATCATCTTGTCTACTGTGCTATGCTAATAATATAATGAATGTAATATATTGTATATACATAATATTTATAATATTATAATGTAATGCAATATAATACTAATACTAATAATATGATATAATTATATATTTATATTACATGTAATATTACTAATAATATTACAATATAATGGTATAGTACAATATAGTAATATATATAATACTGATATTTTAATATGTTAATCACATAATATATTGTATGTATATATATATCTTGTAAGCTGCTCTGAGTCCCCTTTGGGTGAGAAGGGCGGCATATAAATGTTGTAAATAAATCTATATAAATAAAAATATAATGTTCGTTTGTGGGATTAACAGAACTCAAAAACCACTGGACGAACTGACACCAAATTTGGACACAAGACACCTAACAACCCAATGTATGTCCTTCACTAAAAAAAAATGATTTTGAAATTTGGGAGTTGTAATTGTAGTTCACCTACAACCAAAGAACATTCTGAACCCCACCAACGATGGAATTGAACCAAACTTGGCACACAGTTCTCCCACGACCTACAGAAAATACTGGAAGGGTTTGGTGAGCAGTGTCCTTTGGTTTTGGAGTTGTAGTTCACCTACATCCAGAGAGTACTGTGCACTCAAACAATGATGGATCTGGACCAAACTCTACACGAATACTCCATATGCCCAAATGTGAACACTGGTGGAGTTTGAGAAAAATAGAATCTTGGCATTCGGGAGTTGTAGTTGCTGGGATTTATAGTTTAACTACAATCAAAGAGCATTTTGAATCCCTCCAACGATAGAATTGGGCCAAACCCCCCACACAGAACCCCCATGTGGGCCACAGCAATGCGTGGCAGGGGACAGCTAGTAAATAAATAAATATGTCTAATGCTCTTTGTGCAATATGTAAAAATTCTAATACCCTTTCTCTTGCTGGATGTGAAAAAATAGATTTTGTCAAAGCCTGGAGGGAGGGGGTGCCCAAAAAGAGCATGAAAACGGCATAAAATGTGCAGAAGCCATAATGCCAATTTGACCAAGCATAGCAAAGATGGCAAATCACCTTGAGGCAGCAGGTGGAAGAGGGGAGGAAAGCACCAGAGGGATGGGATAGGACCCTGTTGAAATATCTGCGTCTTTATGCGACGAGAACAGATGGAGGGATAATGGAGAGCGTAAAAGCCTATCAAAGGTGTAAGGGAGCTTGTTCACAGCATGGCTGACTTCATCGTTGTCAATTCATGTCTTCCCCTTGAGCCTAATAGACTGTCGCCAGCCTGAAATGCAGCTGACATCTTACAAAAAGAGTGGACAGAAGGAAGAAGCAATTTTCTTTCAGGTGGTGTGAAGCAGTCTAGAGGTCAGAGAGGCACGGATCAAAACAGCTGCACAAAATAGTCTCTGGGTCAGAAGATGAGCTCTCCCTCGACTCCTCTTTGTCCTTCCCATTTCTCTCTCTCTTTACAACATATTTTGTAGACTAAGAGAAACAGAAGAGAGGTGAGAAAGAGGCATGGATTCCAAGTTCGTGTTCTTAAGATTCAGAAAAGAGACTCTCTTCCAACCCTAGAGTTGGAAGAGACTCCAGGCCAACATGGTTCTGAGGCAGGAAGACATGATCCAAGCCCTCTCGACAGATTACCATCCAGACTTGTCATTGCAGGAGGGATATCCTTCCGTGTAATCTTCAAGGGCCGCCCCATATAGAGCTCCTTACAGTAGTCTAGCCATCATCAGACTCACCTTCAGTCCGGTGCTTTCTGCTTCAGAGCCCTTGTCCACACCAGTGATGTAAATCCCAAGAGCGTATTCTGCTCCTCCTCGGATCATGAGACCCAGCGATCGCCCTTCGTCCAACACCAGGTTGACCTAAACCAAGAAAGGAAGGATAATGTTTGAACCTCTATGGATCTCTGCATCCACACTAGAGAATTAACACAACTTAACACCGCTTTGGCTGCTATGGCTGCTAATGATTATGTGAATAGATTAATAGGTACCACCTCGGCGGGAAGGTAAATGGCGCCCCATGCAGTCATGCCAGCCACATGACCTAGGAGGTGTCTATGGACAACACAGACTCTTTGGCTTGGAAATGGAGATGAGCACCACCTCCAAAACCAGAGATGAAAGGGGAAGCCTTTGCCTTTGTCTGCATATTTGTGTTTCATTGTTTCAAGGCATTGAATCTTTGCCTGTGTTTGTATATAGCAGTGGTTCTCAACCTTGCTAATGCCGTGACCCCTTAATGCAGTTCCATATGTTGTGGTGACCCCCAACCATAACATTGTTTTCATTGCTACTTGATACCTGTCATTTTACTACTGTTATAAATCGTAATGTAAATATCCAACATGCAGGATGTATTTTCATTCACTGGACTATATTGAGCACAAATACCCAATATGCCCAAATGTGAAAGCTAGTGGGGCTGGGGGAGGATTGATTTTGTAATTTGGGAGTTGTAGTTGCTGGGATTTATAGTTCACCTATAATCAAAGCGCATTCTAAACTCCACCAGCAATGGATTTAAACCAAACTTGGCACACAGAACTCCCATGACTATTAGAAAACACTAGAGGTTTGGTGGGCATTGACCTTGAGTTTGGGAGTTGTAGTTCACCTATATCCAGAGGAGTGCTGTGGATTCATGCAATGATGGATCTGGACCAAACTTGGCATGAATACTCAATATGCCCAAATGTGAACACTGGTGGAGTCTGGGGAAAATAGACCTTGACATTTGGGAGTTGTAGTTGTTGAGATTTATAGTTCACCTACAATCAAAGAGCATTCAGAACTCGACCAACAATAGAATTGGGTCAAACTTCCCACACAGAATCCCAATGACCAACAGAAAATACTGTGTTTTCTGGTGGTCTTTGGCGACCCCTTTGACACCCCCTCATGACCCCCTCAGGGGTCCTGACCCCCAGGTTGAGAAACACTGGTATATAGGCTGGAATCTGCCCTGAGTCCCCTCGAGGAGATAGGGCAGAATACTACTAAAGTGTTGTAGGTTGCCCTGAGTCCCCCATTGTGGGGAGAAGGGCGGGGTAGAAATATATAAATGAAATAAATAATAATAATTAATAATAATATTAAATAATAATAATAATAATAATTATTATTATTATTATTATAGTGGAACAACAACAAAAACACTATATTAAATTCCCGCCTATTAATCTATTTACATTTGCATGTTTTTGAACTGCTAGGTTGGCAGAAGCAGGGGCTAACAGAAGGAGCTCGCCCCGCTCTGTGGATCGAACTGCCAAACTAGTTCAGCAGCTTAACCTGTTGTGCCACTGTGGCTCTTTTACTACTACTACACTGGCCAATGCATATTTTGGCACCTCAAATGTTAGACTTGTTTCTGGATATATTGGAGATTCCAAAAAATGACACTAGTTCTATCAGTTCTAGTTTTTGAGATAGTGAACATATGGCATATATTACTCTTCATCTGTTCACCCATAGAAAATCATGATAACGATATCTAAGAAACTAGAGCGGTTGCAGTCTATTCACTGCAATTTTCTGAATCAGCGCCCCAAATAACTCCAGGAACAGGTCTAAAAACCACGTGTTGCTCTCTAGCCTTGAGACACCTTTCCACCCAGCGCCACGCCAGAGTCCAGTAGTACTATCTACAAAAGTTTATCAAGAAAAACATGTACAAAAGGGGAAAAGGGCATTTCTCAAAAATGCAGCAGAGTAGGAAATACAAAATAGCTGCAATCCAAAAATGTCCAAATACATGAAGTCAATGGAACCAAAATCTCAAGCATAAATCCATAGACATGAAAGCAGGAATTTTTTCCCAAGGCAAACCCTTTAAGGAACATAGCCAGAAACAGGAAACGTGAATCATGAACTTGAGAGCCGAGACAGGATAGCCATCCTTATGGCAACGTTGTCTACTCTGAGGGGCACCAAGTAAACACCACTTAATTTAAGTCCAAGTCTGACCAAGAAGCCATGAAGTCATGCCGAACGCACCTGGGCTTCAAAGACTTTGCATGAATTCTCTCAGAACATCTAATAAGTCTATCTTTCACTTCAATTTCAACAGAAAGGAGAAAACCATGAAAATCTGGCTACCAGTATTTAACAAACTTTAAAATCACAACAGCACAACAACAGAGAGGAAACAAACAAGGACATCTAATCACCTCTCAACAAAAGATTGCTCCAGGCACTGCCAGGCCATCAAATGCTAATCAAGGTGGTCAGTTGAAACATTCACACCTAGCTCCAGCAGACAAGAGTCCTTTGTCCCACCCTGGTCATTCCACAGATATAAACCCTTTTTCCTATTTCCAACAGACCTCACTACCTCTGAGGATGCTTGCCATAGATGCAGGCGAAACGTCAGGAGAGAATGCCTCTAGACCATGGCCATATAGCCCGAAAAAACCTACAACAACCCAATAATAATAATAATAATAATAATAATAATACATTTTGTGCAAAACTGCTTAATAATGCATTCTTCCTCCATTTCTTCCTATTGGAGAATCCCTTTGCAACATTTTGAAAATGCAACTTTTAAGGACAAACTGAGTTTTGGTTTATATGTACACTCGAAAAAAAATGAAATGAGGTCTGAATGGTGACAAAAACCATGTTCTCCTTCCTCCTTATTTATCTTGACAAAGTAATTAAAGTATCGGTAACAAATGCCTCTACCTCCAGTATAAACAGACACGCAAGACTTTCCAACTGTCAGAAATGAAGGTATTCCAATCCCCAGTCGAGAGAGATAGGAAAACATTGCAATTGCATTTTGCTGGCGTGCTGATATCCCTGAAACCCCCGAGAGAAAACCCAAGACAGATCAGATTTCGATTAAAATTCAGCAGGCCCAGGAAGGGGAAAAACATTCCCCCTCCTCTGTTAAGATATTACAGCGTATTGACAAAACACAGTTGAAGGCTGTGAGACAAGCAGTCGAAAGGAATCAGGAAACCAAAAAAGGAGTCCGTTTATTTCTTTCTCGGCTGGGGAGCAATTATCTGGGTAAAATGGATGGGGAAATTATGAAGGCTTTCCGTGAGACTCGGCTCACGGAGACAGAAACCTTTAATTGCCAAACTGAAGGAAGAAGTGCATTAATCCCATATTAATTGCAGGAGTTTAGCAGCCAGGACATAGATGCAGCGGAGCTACAGAGGGAAAGAAGTATAATAAGAGGGGGAAGGCTTGACTGCAAAAAAATATGCTCTCTTTTACCAAAAAGTTCCACTTCTTTGCTATTTCTGATCTGATGAAAGCGTACTTTCCAACAGAAAGTCTGTATACTACAAGCCCCATATTTTGCATTAATTTACTATTATTATTATTATTATTATTATTATTATTATTATTATTATTATTATTATTTATTGGGTTGTTGTAGGTTTTTCCGGGCTATATGGCCATGTTCTGGAGGCAATTTTTCTCCTGACGTTTCGCCTGCATCTATGGCAAGCATTCTCAGAGGTAGTGAGGTAGTGATTATTATTATTATCGTTGCCCAGGTTATTTGAAAAAGTCATTTTTAATTGTCCAAAATGCATAAGGTTGTGGGTGAAGGACAACTCACATCATGCCAGGTTGACGTCGAGAAACTCCATCAGTACTTGTTTGTTCTGTTAGGTAAGTTTGCTCTACATGCATCATCGGTGGGGTTCAATGTGGTCTCTAGCTGCAGGGTAAACTACAACTCCCAGCATGGTGAGTCACTACCCACAAAACCCCTCCAGTAGGTTGATTTACTCATGGGGGTTCTGTGTGCCAAGTATGGTTCAGGTCCATCTTCGGTGGAGGTCAGTTTTTCTAGTTGTGGGTGAACTACAACTCCCAGAAAGGAAGGTCAGTTCCCCCCAAACCCCTCCAGTAATCAAATTTCAGCATGTCACCTATGTGTGGCAAGTTTAGTCGAGATCCATCAGTGTATTGTCGAAGGCTTTCATGGCCGGAATCACTGGGTTGTTGTAGGTTTTTTTCGGGCTGTATGGCCATGGTCTAGAGGCATTCTCTCCTGAAGTTTCGCCTGCATCTATGACAGGCATCCTCAGAGGTAGTGAGGATCACTACCTCTGAGGATGCTTGCCATAGATGCAGGTGAAACGTCAGGAGAGAATGCCTGTAGACCATGGCCATACAGCCCGAAAAAACCTACAACAACCCAGAGATCTATCAGTGTTTGGGTTGACAGTGCTCTCTGAATGTAGGTGAACTACAATTTCCCCAAATCAAGGTGATTTTCCCCAAAGACTTCCAGTATTTTTTGCTGGTCATGGGAGCTCTGCGTGCCAAGTTTGGTCCAATTCCCTCTTTGGTGGAGTTTAAAGCGCTCTTAGATTGCAGGTGAACTATACATCCCAGAACCTACAAGTCCAAAATGTCCAGGCCAATTCTCCTCAAAACCCATCAGTATTCAAATTTGGGCATATTGGGTATGCCCAAATCCATCATTGTTTGGTTTCATAGTGCACTCTGGATGTAGGTGAACTACAACTCCTCTAAATCCCTCCAAAGACCTCCAGTATGTTTTGTTGGTCATGGGGGGTTCTGTGTGCCAAGTTAGTTCCAGGTCCATCATTGGTAGAGTTCAGAGTGCAGTTTATAGATTGCAGGTGAACTATAGATCCCAGTACCTACAACTCCTAGAAATCATGGCGAATTCTCCCCAAAACTCTCTAGTATGTTCAGGATCTCTAGTATGCTCAGTCTGCTGTGTGGTATAGAAAAGAATAGGAAAGAGTTAAGGGAGAGGCAGTGGGCGGGGTCAAGCAAATTCCACACCAAAGGAGGGAGTCAGAAACACTGGGATGTCTGTGGCAGAGGCTACAATGGCTATAAATCACGGTGAATTCTCC